GGTGGGCATTTCATAGGATTAGCAAAACCTCTTTCTCTTACTGCCACCGCTTTTCCCTTTGGTTGAACTCAACCAAATTATTGAACTTCACCTCCAGAAGTAACTTTAATTAATTTTAAATGGAGAAACGAGTTAAAATCCATTATTTAAAATATTTTTCAACAGGGTTTGTTAAGAGATGCTCTCAGAAGAGCAACCTCGAATTGTTCATGTCCGCGCCCCCTGTCGCTCGCAGGTAGAGCGTGGGTAAGGGAAGGGGGAAACAAGGTCCCGCTCATTGAAGATCACACTGTACTGTATCTTTCGCGACGTTGGGAAATTACCGTGTAGTATTGAATACATGAAGTAATGTCTTAGTTTCCTCCGAACTAATTCCTGTCAGAAACAGTGATTTTCGTTGAAGATTGAGTTTTGTGTGTGTGGAAGTTGTCTTCTTTTTCTCTGCAGTTTCTTGCTCGCCGCGAACGTTCTTTAATTTTTACTGGCCTAAAGACGTGCGTGCACTGCTCTGTGGTGTGATTGCAGAGCTATCGTTCCTTTCGTTAGTATTAATTCATATTCAGGATCACATTCGAAGGATGTACACTCGACTGTCAGTCATTCGAGCTCCGAGCAACCGGATTTCCGTGCCCAAAGTTCGAGCAAGTGAGAGAAAATAGGGATATCTGCACGTATATGTAATTCTAACTCGCTTCACTATCAACCAATTTCCCGCTCCATGCACTTCAAGATTGGTGTGGATGTCGTTAATGATCAGTTGTAGCATCCTTGAAAATTGGAAACACTGCATACGAGTTTTCAACGCCTCGCGTATTTGTAACATTGTATAATCTTATCAGGTGGCAGTCGATTATTTGGTTTTAAATTAAATTTTTACCGTAAAATATTTTTAACCGTATGAGCCCAAAGAATTTGGCGTCTTCATTTCAATAATAATGCTGCACTGTACTCCATGATTGGCGGGTTGGATTGTCGTTCCCGGCGTTTTAATTTACTAAACGGCGCGCGGTTATCATGTGCGACATTCGTGAGCTCTTCAGGCGTTACAATTAGTTACTGTTGACGATGTCATTCAAATTAAATTTATGGTCGTTGCTATGAACAGTTTCTGCCGTGGTTAATGAAAGCTCAAGTTATTCTAGTGCTGTATCAGTGATAAATAATGACAAGCTGCTGAACCTGCTCTGAATTCAAACCATACTTGCTGTAAAAGCAATTTACTAACTTTGAATCCGCTGTATGCTTCAGGTTGTTTGGCTAAATTCCCGCTTAAGTATGATTGCGAAAATGAGAATTTTTTGAATTTGAACGATACCGTTTATCCGCTGTCGGCTGCTATTAGAAAACGAGAAATTTTTCACTTCGTGAAGTTCTCGGACTTCCGAATAGAAACCCGTGTTACAGTAAATATTGCATGCAATAATATAATTTCTTGAAAGTTTTTGCCGTGAGCCTCGACGTACTAACTTTGAAAAAACTTTCGAGTTTCGACAGTGTTTTATGCATTCTTCAAAAATATGAAATCAATCCAGAAAATGCGAGAAGATTTCCAATTCTTCGAGTTGTTCCAGTTGCCCATTCACAGTTTAAATCAGATCTTCAAACGTTTCTGAAATATTTACAAGGCATTTGTCATTTTGTGTTGGAAACTCGAAAATCAAACGATGCCGATTCAAGGATCAAGGTATTAAGTGGGGAGAGTATTAAAATATTTTTGACTCTTTGACTTTTCCGGTTAAAAAATAAATAAAACCTCTTTGTGGCGCAGAAGAATCAGATGTGTGCACTGCCACATATTTGAAGGTACTGTATTTTAAATTCGATGGCGTCTTAAAATTGCAGTGCATTCGACCAGCACGGTAACTTAGATTTTAAAATAAAAGAAGCTTCAGAAATTTTAATTGCGAGAATCTTCAATATCATTTTCAGTTCAAATGCACGTGAGTTGAGATCCCGATTTATCATGAAAGCGGTTCTTGACATTGAGCTGATGACTGATACAGAAGTATAGAATCAGCAGATATCCTTTATCCAAGAAAATTTGAGGCACGATTAGAATGAAGGACATTTGATATACATCGGAACATCTCTTGTAGTAAGTTATATATTTTTCATGCGATAAATTTACAATTAAGTGTAGGGAAAAATGTTAAGGTTTTTCTGGGGCATTTCATCCGTGGTGAAGCTGGAAAGATGAGCTGAGAAGCAGCCTCTTGGAAAACCCGGTTGCGGGAAGCGCTTGCTGAAGTCAAGTCTTATATCGATCAGGGTTTCGCGTTCGCCGTTTCTTTTCTGACCTGAGTCTTCCCTCGCCCGCCCCTGTGCAAAAGAGAACCCGGGGACTGAGGCCCCCTTCTGCGCCTACCCCCCCTGACGACACGATCCGATTGATCGCATTTCTCTTCAGCCCACTTTCCGCCTCTTCCCTCCGATTCTCTTTCTAGACTTGCTCAGGATAAAGAAAAAAATGTCTTCGTGCCGTCCGAAGTGTTGATCGCCGCATTCAAGGTTGCTGTGGCTTGGCAATATTTTTTTGTCAAAGTTACAATTCGAGTTGACGAAGTGCATATGTTGAATTGATTAAAAACATGAGAACCTGCTTCGTTTTTAAAGCTATACAGTGCCCACAAGCCGGCCCCCCCCCCCCATCCCAAACCCGTGCGTGAAGAACAAACCAAGAAAAAAGGTTAGATTTGATGCCATTCATCTAAACTATATTAGATTGATTGGATAAGGTTTCTCTGATTTTAGTTCGCATTGATTGGGTTGGTTGTATTTTCGAGATTATGTTAGTTTTGATGAGGCAAGGTTAGTTTAGATTAGTGAATATGCGGCTATGTTTTCAAAGTGACGTTAAATTAGATTATTTAGGAATAGATCAATTTAGACACAGTAAAATTGGGCTGCTGGAGTGAGCCTCGTTGTGTCAGTTAGGGTAGATCAGTTTGGCTAGGCTAGTTAGAGTTAGACTAGGCCAGTTAAGATTAAATTTGTCTGGGCCAGTGAGGATTAGGTTAGTATTGGTAGGATTTGGTTAGGCTAGGCTATTTAGGATTCAGTTAGGCTAGGTTTGTTAAGATTAGGTTAGACTATAGTAGTTGGGATTTGGTCAGGCTAGTTAGGTGTACGTTTCGCTAAGCTAGTCAGGGTTAGTTTCCATTAATTTCAATTCTACTCGGTTTCTGTCATGTCTGTAATAAAATGAGTTCAGTATCGAATCAGTTTTGGTTGGAATGGGTACTTACTACAGTAGCTGATGTGAGTTTGGATTGGTGCATAATTTGATCAGTTGGGCTCCCATTTAATGATAAATATTGTTCGAAGAAATCGAAAAGATAGGGACAATTTTTGTAAGGGAATAAGTAACTTTTAGCTGTACGTATACTAAATTTCCGATAATTTTGAAAGATAGATCGAGTAGTCATCGATGGTTGGTTGATTCTGGTTTTTTTCTTGCATGACTGAATCAAACGATCGTTTCCGAGCTACTTTACTTATCTCCATCCGTTACACATAACTTTCGTGGCGCTATTTTTTGAACAGAATAGAACCGCGCATTTGTTTTTCGTGTTGAAATCGAAGTGCTTTCGTAGAAGGTGAGGTTGTATAGTGTGTGATGTGATTTTTGAATGCGCGCGCAGTGCGAGCACTGAGTTGCGGATATCGATCCCTGCGGAAACCAACTCGAGAGAGTTCACTGTCCTTGCACACCCGAGTCGAAGGATTCCCTTCCGCGGTTTCCCCTTCCACGTATTTTCCGAGCCAGGTCTTGCTCACTCTCTTTTTGTGCAAGAGTGTGGATGTCCAGGCAAATTTCAAAATTACCGATTAGCAACAAAATTTCGAGTTGCGGAGATTTAAATTTTGGGAAATGAGACATTTTTGGGGGGATGAAGAACTATTACATGGAATTAAAATTGCTGATTTTCTGGGCCTTAAATGTCTTTCTTGAATGAGTTGGCATAACCCTGCCCTTGGAGGCAAGGGTTAATTTATCCGATTAGTCTTTCACTTTCTTTAAAAGTACACATGCATATTTATTGCTTCTATATTTAGCGTCAATAAAATATTGTAATAGCAAAAAGGGCTCCGTAAAATTTGAATTATGGAGGTTTGAGGGGGGGGGGGGTCCTTCGAGCCAGGGAGATTTTTAATGCATTATTTCGAAGGGAATTCAGAAAGAGATTTAAAAAAAAAGTGTTTGACTAGGTGTGGTTCGAGTACTGTATTGAGGTTTAACTGTAACTTATTTTTCTTTACATTTTCAACTTTTCGTCTTCCGAAAAATCTCTGAACAGCAGTTAGCTGCAGTATGTGCGTTTGAACCGATGAGGGCATGGTCGTTGATTCGAAGACAGTACCCGGGTAGTCCCTCTCTACAACGATTTTCTTTGTACTGTAAAACGATTTTTTTTGGGTCCCTGGAGGGCTCTTAAACTGTTCTATGTAGTTCTCTACAACGAAGATTTTTTTCTGTTCCCTAGAATTTTGTTGTAGACAGATTCCACCTGTAATTCCGACTATTTTGGGTTCGATTAACCGTTCAGAAACGGAGGAGGTTGCGCAACTCTACCACAAGACAGATGATTTTTCTCTTATCGTCATGCATGGACATTTTTTTTTGTCGCTGAATTCAAGTTTTTAATTTTTGTTTATTTGAGGTAATGTATCAGATTTTATTATATGGGCTTATTAAATTTGTCGCTGGGGATGTATTACTGCCTTAAGTCGTTTTTGCGTGAATTTTTCGATCGCTTGAGAAATGTTTTTAAAAATCTTCGTTTGCCCATTCTTTTCAAAGGCATCCGGGCATTACTCCGACTAATCGAATTATGTGTTGCTTTGAAATGTATGCTCATCATTTAAGACAGATTTTCAAGGTGCAGTACTGTCGATCATCGTTGCGCGAAAAATTTGTCTAGTACACCGGTACCCATAAGTAAAACTTGCTCTCATCAAATGCACTCCCATTTGGGCTTCTTGCTCGATTTTAATCGTTTTTATTTTCTCTGATTAATGCAGGAGTACAGGACTTCTGTTAGGGTTGTGGATGTGACGGTCAATTTTGCTTTCGCGGAAACTCGATTTTTTCCATCCTGTGTACCATGAGTGGCGGTGCGACGACTTCCACCGCTTCAACGGATGGTCAGGAGTTCTGCTTACGATGGAACAATCATCAAACCACGATCGTGTCCATCCTTGAGCAGCAGTTCCGAAACGAGGCATTTGTGGACGTCACGCTTGCAGTCGAGGGACTTGCCTTGCGGGCGCACAAAATGGTGTTGTGCGCGTGTTCGCCCTACTTCTCAGCTCTCCTGTCCAACACCCCGGACAAGCATCCGATCGTCATTCTCAGAGATGTTGGTTATAAGGATATGCGGGCGCTTTTAGACTTCATGTACAGGTACGTCTTCGGCAGGCGCTTTACTCTTCGGATTCGGTGATTTCAGTTCTCGTGTCAAAGCATTATTGTGGGTGAAATTTTGCTTATTTCCCGGATTTACTCGAATATCACGCGCCCTAAAGAAAGACATCGTGATGCGTGTCTTACTTTTTCTCTTGAAAATTTTGATAAAATTTGCATCCCCAAGTAAGACGCTTACCCCATCTTTAGTGAGGCTAAAAAGGCAATATTTCAAAAATTAAGAACACTCACATTCAGGGACGTGGAGCAGAGCAGAGTAATTTTACCCAGAGCAGCCAATAATTTTGCCTGCTCCAGGCCTGAGATAAAATTTTAAAATTGGGGGAGAACCCCCAGCCATATGTGACTGTTTGGCTGGCACCAGTCAACCAAACTACCTTTCCCCAATGCAAACAAGTCCTCAAACCCTGAACATTCTTCCCCTTGTTGCTCAATTATTATCAATTTGAGAGAGGGGTTATCCTGAATCCATTTTTTTCAACAACCTCAAAGAAGTGGATGCTTGTGTGCTACACAAGTATCCCATGGTTAACTTGTATTCATTTTTCAATGAAATCTGAAAAATGGTTTAGTTGGTGAGATATGTACAAATACCCATTGAAGCAGTTTGGAAAGTTGAGGAAACCCCCCTGCTACCTGTGATAGTTTGGCTGGTGCCACCCAAAAGAAGTCCCTTGCTTAGAATAAGTCATTAACACCTTCTTAGAAATATGCATCCCCTGGTTGCCCTACTACGGTACAGGTGGACACTTCATCCTCTATAGTCTGTACCAGTGTTCCCCTACCTTGTTTGGCCCACAGACCAGAAAATTGTTTGCTGTGGACTGGCACATTTCCAAAAAAAAAAATTAAGCACACAGGCAAAGTTTCAAAACATTTTTGCAGACTCAAAAATCTTTTGCCTGAAAGACTTCATGGGAGGTATTTAAAAAGTTTCTGCTTTACTGAAAAAATTAAGCCAAGAACCAATGAAGCAGCTACAATATGGTGGAATGCCTTCAAAAAATTAGAAAAGTCAGCTTTAAGAAAGGTTTCTCTGAATAAAATTAAAATACTTTAATTTATTTCAGGTGGTGAAAATTTGTCTGAAGTGTTATTAGGAGAAAAGCCAATTTTTATTTTTCATCATATAATTCAAACTGAATTTTCTTTTTTAAATTTCAGATAAAAATAACAGACTTCAATGCTCCCTTTGATTTATTGTGCTGAGGGAAATTTCCCACAGACTGAAAAAACTTCTGCAGACTGGCTCTGGTCTGTGGACCATGGGTTGGGGAACACTGGCCTATACATCAAAATTCAGGGGACCAGGAAAGATTTTATCCAGATGATTTTTTTAGAGAACCCCTTTAATATAAGTAGTGGCCCATATGGGCCTCTACCTATACTATAGCTAAATAAAAATGCACAAAAATTAGAATTTTTATACTGTATTTTGATTTTTTATGACTGTACATACAAGTCAGATTTTCCAATTATGGGCCAATTATTGAAAATGCATATTGCCTATAGAACACAAATATAATCAAAGCAAAAGTTCTATATAATGAGATAATTGATGACAATTAGTATGTAAAAATAAAATTCCATAGCTTTGTTCCCTTGGAAAAACTTCTGGGACCAAGAAAAATTATTATTGGAAAAAATTATAACAAGATTCATTGTTAAGGAATTTTACTGTAGTATTCAGTGGTTCTGAAAAGTGCTTGGAGCTCAAGAGCACTGGAATAGAGCACCAGTCTGGAGCCCAGAGCGGAGTGGAGCCCAAAAAGTTTTTTGCCCTGCTCCATGTCCCTGCCCACATTTGCATTTAGAAATGAATTGAACCTGAATTCAACTACAGTAATTTACAATTGTTTTCAATGCAATAAGTTTCATCAATCAAGTTGGTCCAAAATTTTCCAGCGGAATCAAAACTAATGAACATCCAAACTTCAAAAACTTCTGGAAAAATTTTTCCCACCAATGACACGCACCTCCTTTTTTCCCTCAGTTTTGAGAAAAAAGGTGCGTGTAATACTCAAGTAAATGCGGTACTGTTTTAGCCCTTCATTTACTGTATTCCTGCCAGTTTTATAGAGAAAAAGTGAAAGAAAATCTTTTTTTTGCTCATCAAGCCAGTCCTGAATGTTTTTTTGGTCATTTTTGTCGGTTGAATGATTCAGGCGTCACCTATCCAATATTCCAGAAAGCGAGGTTGCATTTTTAAATCTTTTCTGCATTTTACTGTATGCATATTGCATTTTCAGCATTTAGTATAATGTATTGTACTGTAAATTATTTTACTGTGATGCATGTACATTATACCAGTAATTCTATCTTATCAGCACTGATGGAGAGACTTTAAATTTGAAGTGCATCCAAAATTGTTGAATTCACGAAGGTATGACAAGTCGGGGTTCAATTTATGAGGCATGCTACCGTCTTCGTTGAAAATCGCCAGATTAATGCAAAGGAGGTTTATTCTCGTGTTTTGATTTTTTTCGTTTCTAGGGGAGAAGTTTCCGTATCGCAAGACTGCCTCGATCGATTGCTGAAGGTTGCGGAATCTCTTCGAATCCGCGGTTTGGCCGACGTAAGCGAACAGAATCTGAAGGCGTCTCAAGGCGGTTCTCGAAGCCGAGGCCTTGCTCAAGAAATACTCCAAACTACTCAGCAACATTTGCAAACGCATCCGGCATCAGCAGCGTCTCCTTTGTCGATGCCCCTCCGATCCTCCCCTACCAACCTTGGTGGTTAGTTTTTCTCGAGAAAAATGCCATAGGTTGCTGGAAACTCTGAAGAATCACTTGCGAATCTTCGTATAGTCAAACCCCGTTAAGACACCCCCCCCCCCCCCCCNATTAAAACCCCGTTAAAACCCCCCCCCCCCCCCCCCCCCGATAAAGCGCCACCTTGGGCAACCGCCAAAATTTCGTATTAAGCAAATTTCCTCAATGTTAAATACCGGAAAAAACCTCGATAAGACGTCAAACGCCATCCGCCAACATGAACGGTGAAACAAAAGTGATGCTTGGCCTTGGCATTAGTTTTGACTTCTTTGCAGCGCCAACATCCAGATGGAATTTTAATTTCTGTCTAGGACCTTGCATTTTAAAGAAGAAATAGCTAGACCTAATCTTAAAATTCAAATAAGTTTGATGGAATGAGCTTCATTTTCTAAAAGAGGAATCCACTACAGAAATACTCTTCGAGAAATTCCTTAAGTTTATGGAAAACCTGTATTTCTATATTTTTGGAGGAATCTTGAATAATTTTAATCATATCATTTCGAGAATGAACTCTTTAAACCACGAAAAAGCTCTCTAGACAAATCGTGGCGTCTTATCACGCTGGAATTCTGAGAAACCCTTCAAAAAATTTATTAATGAGGATTGTTGAAATGCTTTGCTCTTGAAATCCCTGAGATTAATAAAGTACTATATTGACGTCGTAGTTTCTCGTTATAAAGCTGCTTATTCATTTTATTCGTCTACTAGAGCTAATCGAACTTGAGAACGTTGAATCGATAGTGAACGTGTTGTTGGAAGAGCGAGTAACGTCAGTCTATAATAACAGATGGTTTCGAAGTTATAATTTGGCGAAGGACTCTATTGTTTTCATCTTGGTTTGAAATCTCAAAGCTCTGAAAACAGGCCAAGAAATAAATCTTGACAGGCGATTACTGAATTAAGGACACGGGATTTCCGCATTTCCTCCAAATATCTCTTCATAGAATGGGCCCCGGTCTGTAATGATAAATTTCATTTCGCATGGGTTTTCTAAATTAAATTCGAAGTTAGCACCTGATGAATTGGGGTTATCAGTACCGCCGGAATCGGAGGCCAATAAATTTTAGGTAATTAGAAATTCCGCGCCTGAGATAATTTTTCAATTGAAGCCCATAAAACTTCTCACGAGAAAAAGCTGCGATTTATTTTCGGATTTTAGCAAATTGATGGTCATTTTTTTAACGCACGTGGCACATTTTTATTCAGTAGGTATTCTTTGTAATTCGTTTTCCGAGAGATCAGAATATTTCTCGTTTCAAATTTTCTGTACAGAACGTGATTCTTCTGATCGAAATATGTGTTAAATCTCATACCGTAATTTTGTTATCAATTTTTCGACGCGTAAGCTAACTGTTCGAAAGATTTCAAAATTTCGTGCTGGACAATATTTGGTTGAGAAGAAAAGGCGCGCTATTCATGTTCCATTCGCTGGCGTGAGGGCTACTGAAAAAATAGAGAAGTTGATTCGCTTTTTCTTCCAGGGCCATTTCAAGGTTTACATGTGATAGCCGAAGCAGCAGCTAGCAAGCGGCCGCTTTTGGCCTCCGTTGGAGCTGGCGGTTCAGTGGCGTCGCTGAACTTGTCTTCCTCGTCTGGTGTCGTGAGTCCTTCCACGCCCGGATCTCCGAGTGCCATGGCCGGGGCGCGAAAGCGAAGAGGACGACCCCGAACAGTATCGTCGCCGACGGCGTCGAGCACCCCGCTTGCAGCGCCGGCGTCTCCACCTGCCGAATCTGAGGAGTCTCGGGACAAGTGCGAATTTTCATCTGTGGAAAATCTGGTACGAAGCTATTTCTTTCTTTCTCTTTCATTTTGAATACCCTCAACGCTTCACTGTGTCTTTAGATTTTTTTTTAAATATTTTAACCGGCTTCCGCAATGATTGATATCCGCTTTCGGTTCGGGAACAAAATTTATCGCATTTATTTCTTTTTTCACTCATTCTATGATTACTTTAGCTTGATTTACGTGGCTCTTTGTTTTTCCTGCTGTTTCTACACCAATTGGAGCATACAAGTGAAGTATTTTCAACCAGCTCCGCTAATTAAGAATTTGAGCACTTCATCGTAGCACATTTTGGCACTTCTTTCTTTTTTCTAACAGTGAATTGCCATTTCGGAACCTTTCGTGTTACTTTTGAAGAAAAAAAAACGGCCGTCAAAACACTTGTAGAAGATCAAAACTCCGATTATCACGCCTATTTGATTGGGTAAAGACTCACGAATGATGCGCTGGTGGCCAATTTTTTGAAATCTCAGCATCTATGGTCGAGTGTGTAGAAATTTTTTCACGTAAAAAAAGAACGAGTATTCCTTTCGCAGTTTGTGAGATCATTTCAATTGCGCTGCTCTTTGCTTGAAAAAATGTTTGAAAAATATATTTGGGCTACAATTTGAAAGATGTATTTTTTGCGCTGCTGGATTTTTAAAATTAATTCACGTTCTATAATCATGTGATCGTAGTTATTAAGGGCTTTTGCTTTCGGTTTAATTTAGCATGTGTTCATTTATCTGTCTTGTTCTAGTCGATGTCTGCTGGTTCATTTGAAAAGGAGTACGGAGAAAGTATGGAAAAGAGGCCAAAGATGAAACAAGAGCCAGAGGATCTGAGTGGTGAGTAGGCTTTCAACGCGTCCATTTTTTCCACATAACGCAGTAAATTGAAGCTTGATTGTGTGTTGATTGTACATCGTAATGCTTGATTAGCATCGTGATTTCATTCAGCGTGATTATTTGGGCTCTCATCAAAGAAGGAAAGATTCCTGAGCAAACCTGTTTTTCCTCGAAGAGTAACAAATTTATAACAGAGCCAATGTTTCATGTGTTCCCGGAGTATGCATAAGTGATCGAGCAGTTTGGCACTGTATTACAGTACTGTCATCCGCGAGAAAAATGAAAGTTTTACCTATTTCGAGTGATTTGTCTCAACTTTTCCTACTTCAGATACTGGGGTTGTGGTGAAAACAGAGCCTGAAGACAGTTCTTCCATCACCGAAGGCTCAACGCCTAGTTCAGGTGAGATACCTCGTCGACACCATTATTTATTTATTCATTATTTTCAACGATTACTATGTTTTATTTCGCACGATTTAGTACTGTATTTCTTGGATTGAGTTAACATTTATACTCGTGTCATTTTGTCATACTGCTTTGTGTGAACGATTTGTCCCATTTTTCGATTAAATTTTTTTTATTTGCTTCCTCATTTCATGCTTCGAGAAATCAATGCATTTTGTATCAGAAATTGCGCTAATTGCAATACCGTACGTCGATAAATTTTAGAATTAAATGATATGTATTTCAGATTATTTCTGTATTTAAACGCGATTTGTGCGGATTTTAATTGAGCATTTGTCCGACAAGGAATCGTTGATCATTGCACGTTTTTCTTGTTTTTTTTTCTTCTCTTTTTTACTTCATTTTGTTGTTGGTTTTGCGTCACGGTAATGACGTTTGGCATGGTGTTGTCGATAAAAATTTTCGGGGTGTAGTTTTGGGTGAGGGGTCCCGTTTGCGTTTGGCCTCGAGCTCCTCAGCCACCTTCAGCGATAGTGGCGAGGGGTCAGAGGCATCCGGCATCGGTCCGCCGCCATACAAGTGTCCCTACTGTCCCAAAGAGTTTCTCGAGTCCAAGGCGTACCTTCGTCACCGAGACCGCACGCACGCGTCCATCTCTCGACCCTGTCCCGACTGTGATGCCACTTTCAAGCGCACGGACCACCTGAGCCGCCACATGCGCACTGTGCATTCCCATGCGTGTCCCGTGTGCCAGGAAACGTTGTCGGGACAGCTGGCCTTTGAGACCCACCTGTCCGCGTTGCATTCGTTGCCGCAGCCAAAACCGCCTCAGCCCTGATGTTACTTGGAGATTGAAAACGTGTCCGTTCCATTTCCACGATAACTTCACGTTTCTCCTCCCTATTGATGTCTTAATTTCTTCGCGCCTCAAACTAACTGCTTCTCCACAATTTTGTAGCGTGTTTCTTGGGGGATGGGATGGGGTGAATTAAATCACGCGTCTTCATCCCAAGGCGATCCTCAGACTCATGCTCTTGAAACTCAGGTCCAATTCAGCGTTTTGTTACATGTTGTGAATGATTGATGTATTTAGCAATTTGTTCGAATTATCGAGTACACTCGAGAGGTTTAATTTTTTACTCTCAACAGTAAATTTGGAAATTGAACGGCGATGTTCCGGCTGGACGTATGGACGTGATGGTGTGGAAACACCCTCCTATTACGTGACGCTTTTTAGAAAAGCAGAAGTTCTATCACGTGGGGAAGTCTGAAAGTTAGGAGAAAAGCGAAAAAGGAATGATACTTGCCTCTGTTTTTGTTTCGCGGGAAAAGAGGACATTCTCAGCATTTAAGCAGTATTTTTATATGAATTCCGAAAAAAATTTCTGTCAGGTGGATCTTTGTTGTGAACACCCGTGAAAATCTTACTTTCTAATACAGTACCGTATTCATTGAAAAAATAATAATTGGAGACTTCCTCGTCAAATGCAGCTCATCATTCTTACATTTTGAAAAAAGAGACAGTCGTTTCCTCGTCGAAAATTTTTCGAACTTTTCGATGATGTTGAGAACTTTTGAATCCCTAAGCTTCCGAAAATTAGAAAACGTTTAGCGTTAATGATTTCTATGCTGGTTTTCTTTCAACTTTTGGACCTCCCCATGTACCATCCGGTTGTTCGTTCCTGACCGCCTGGTGCGTCTTGAAATCACTTCCGTTGAAGGGGGTGTGATCGTCGTAATTTTTGTTATGGTTCAGCCTCCAGAAGCTTTGAGGATCCGTTGATTGAATAATGCAGTTTAAAGTCCGGATGAAATCGACAGGCTGTGATGCAACGTAGGAATCGTTAGGTGTTTACCTCAGACTACCTCCGCTTTGTAATTATGTGAACCGGGTTGCGAAAGAATCGCGTGGTCGCGGCCAGTATTCCATCCGGTTTATCATAAATGCCTCGAACGAAATTGTTCAGTATTCCGCTGAAACCCTTTCGAGTACAAGTGCCATTTCGTAGTCGGTGTTTACGCGTGGGTTTGAGAGCTTTATAGGTATAATCGACGAGTCACAAATTAGTGTTCGAAGCATCCGAACCTTTTATTCCTGTAGCTGAAAGCACTTCGAAAAAAAAAGTCCTTGTCCTCTCTGCATGAACTATCGGTGTGTCGGTTCAGTAGACTTCGTCGTTTTCCGTGTTTCCTGATCTTACGGTGTTGTGTGCCAACAAAATAGGAAAGTGATCTTCACATTTCTGTGCCTGCGTGGGAAAACTAACGCTTTTGTTGGTGTCGGGTTCTTCCTTGCTCGTTTCTTCCCTCTCTTCTCGTACGTTTCCTTCTCCTCTTCCCTTCCCTCTCTTTCAACACCTGTTTGTCTGCGGTGGAGTAGACGTTTGCTGCGAGCCGGACATTTGGATGGACTCGAACGGGACTGGAGAAGACCTTGGGGACTGTCTGGACGACGTTGGTGGCGTTAATGGCAGTGCAGCCTTGGACTACGCTGTATCGCATGTCGACGGAACGGTGGTGTGCAAATTGTGTGGCGAGTTTTTGCCGTCGAGAATGCACTGGTACCGGCACAAGTACAGAGTACATCAGGTATGATCTGGAGAAAGCGGGAAGTCATGCTCTTGTCTCGAAAATGTGATCGAAATATTAAAAAAAAATAACTGCACACACTCACACGTAATCATAGGTCGAAGCCTGTTTCTTATGAGCCATTTGAGGGGGTAAAACGATGTAAGCCGCAGAGTTCCAACACTAGCTCGCATTAAAAGAAAAACACATTCCACAGAAAACTGGTCGAAAAAAATTTCTGGAAAAGCTACCGGGAGATTTTTCCTGCCGATTTAGGCCATTTTGCTATTTAATTATTTTCCTCCAAGTCAAAGTTTAACAAATCCGTGATAGTTCATCAACGAAATGCAATAGAATTTGCAATTGAACCTTGATAATTCAAACCTCACTGAATCGAATACATACGTCCAACTTTTTCAAGCCCCCGTCTGAATTATCTTAGAAACAATGCATTAAATGAAATAAAAACCTCCCTGACTCGAGGAATTTCCCCCTTGAACCTCCATAACTCTCAACGGAGTCATTTTGGCTATCAATTTGAAAACATAGGAAAATTGAAAGCAATAAATTTAAATTCAAGTGAATTGGAAGGAAGTGAAAGACTAATCGGGCAAATGAACCCTTGACCCCAAGTTCAGCAAGCTGTCAACTCATTCAATAAATAATTCAAGACCAAGAGTACCACGAATTACGATTGCCTGTAATTTTTCTGTCTTCCCCTTAAAATGCGTGCTTCCCTAATTTTAAACCTTCCTAACTCGAATTTTTTCTGGTCCCTTGAAGTTCGGCTTGAGAGGTTTGACTGTACAATACGATACAATGTTTGCAATTATCAGAAGAATTTCCTCTTCATTCCGTGACATTTTCTTCAGTTTGAAAGTCTCCCGAGAACCCAGACCTCTCTGCTCAGAACAAAGACTGATCTCTCTTGATGATAACCCGAGTGTCTATCGCGCAGGTCCGGATGTACATGTGCAAGAAGTGCAACACGGCGTTCAAGTCGAAACGTGGGCTGGACAATCACTCAGTCCTCAAGCATCACGCGTCCCCGTCGGCCAGGATTCAAGGCTGTCCAGATCGTGTAATCGCGGACGAGGAGCGATTTCTGCTAGACATCATCGAGCGGGTGAAGAACGAGTGTCGAGGCACTGGCGTCGATCTAGACCGGAAGGGTTACAACAAACACTTCAGCCACCTTGACGGAGGCACTTCCGCATCCGGCTCCGGAAGCCAACCCTCTGATCCGCTGCTGGACCTTTATCACGAGGAAGAAGATTCCAAATGATCTGTGGAGGCATTGTTTTTACGTTTGTTTGTTCCGTGCTGTTGTTCGTTTTATAGAGTTCAGACTTTTAGCGTGCCAAAATGAAGGAATGTCGAGCATCTCAAAGAAGAACAAAGATTTTTTTTGAGGTATGTGGCTGCAGTTAAAAGCTACTCAGCAGAATTATTTCCACACCTCAGCGAGAATGATAATACTTCCCGGGTGTTTTTGGGCGATGTCGATGTCAAAGCTTCGAAATACTTTTCAAAGGTTGAAAACGAGAATCCTAAACCAAGTTTCAGTGAGTGCTCCTTCAATCGTCTTGTCATTCTTGGAAACCGATTTGCATGATACTGGACTTTTTTTTTAAATAAATTTCGCGTGTCACAAAAGGTCGACTGTCATATGCAAACATAAAAGTACTGCTCTAGAATGTGACCTAACACCTTAACTTCATTCCAGTGCGCATGGAGCTAAAATTCGGGTGACCAACCTGACTGACTACATAAGTGTTAGTAAATCGGAGCTAACCCCTCCACATTCTTCATGGAAGACTGGGCAGGTTTACTTTTTAAATTTTCATCGCTTGTAAGCGATCCACAAAACCGACTCAACGTCTGCACCCAGTAGGATGTATATACTGTGGGGCCCTTAGTAAATGACTTTGATTTTATGAAAAGGAGGAGAACGATCTCCACATTAAACATAAACACCGGAGTTAACGGAATATGATTGCGCCGTTGTGTGGCCCAGAGAGAGTATGTCAATGAATAATAACGATATTGTGACTGACAACTGATTTGTGATTGTTTTCTGGTTAACCATGAATAAGTACTGTACAGTACAGAGAAACCTTCCAGGCCCCTTTACTGTATTCCTGTTACGGCTCCAAAACTTCTTTATTCCTTTGCTTGTTAATTTTTTGTCGCTTCAATTATATATTCTCCCTGTTGAGCGTTCCGAGGTTGGTTGTGTAGTAGAAATGAAATTTACGGATGACATCACTTCTGAAGTCGAACGCATACTAGAAGAGCGCCGTGTTTTTTGTACGAACTCCCGTTCACATGTCTTTCACACGTTTTTGCGAATACGGCTTCACTCGCAGAATATATTTTTTTCGACCTCGACTTCCGGAGCGAGCGCGTTTTCTTCAAGTGAAAATGTTCGCTTTTTTTCTTCTGATGGAAATATTGTGCATTAAGGAACTCTTTTCGAGCACTTGAATGATACACCCCCTCCATAGATGAGGTATTTTCTTGAGATCTCGAAGTAAGTATCGGTAAACTGAAAAGATTCCGCGTTGGTTCATAATATGTTTTTGTTTTGTTCGGAAAAATGATTCTCGGGAAAGATTTTTGGCTTTCATGATTCAGGGAATGCGGTGCATTGAATTTTGGTTTATGCAGTTTTTTGTTTCGTTTTTGCAGCCTGTGTGGAGAACAATTGTTTGATTTTTTTAGTGTGAATGAAAGGAAACGTTATTTTTATGGTGCTTGATGGAAACGAACGAAGGATGCTAGCTCCTGTTTCTGTCTAATTTTTTGTCCCAGTCTCGAGAGAATTTGAATTGTCAGGGAATTTAAATAAAAGTATTTAAATATAATTAATTGATTCATGAAGTCGTCTGATTTTATTTGTCTTTTTCCGACAGGAATTCATGAGCGTCATGGTCGGCGCATGATGGAGTTTTGACTGTGCGTTATTAAAAAGTTGTAATCCGTGGAGTTCTAAGGAAGGAATGGTGACGTTATGTGTATGGCTCTCTCGGAAGTATTCAATATCCTATGTATTTTAATCATGGTTGAATGATGTGCAGTAAGTAATCAACGATTCAAGGACCATTTTGATCGAGATCTGCGCCTGTCCTTCATGTGCATAGCGTTCGATCTGAAGTGAGGTGAGTTTGAATATACTGTACTGTGCATTGTTTTTGCTCTGGCTCGTTTTTTGATTTCAAGTCCAAGAATTCTGTATATTCACGGAATAAACCAACTATTGGTAAGTCTAAACCTGTGAAACATCTCGGACATTTTTCATTTCTCTAACAAGAAAGAAGTCGAAATATGTTTCTTTTTATTCTTATGATGAATAAATATAGATGTACTATACTAAATGTTGTACAGAAGTTTGCAATATGCTGGTGTCAGAGGAGAGATACTGTTCGTGGAAATTAAGTACAGCCATGACCCAGAATGTGTCACAAAACTAATGTAAGTACTGTACTTCATAACATTGTATAGTTGCTGGATTAGTTATGCAAATGATGATCTAGCATACTGTATATATACACCATCAGGGTGCTCTCCAATTATACAGTACTGTATTCCTTGACGCCGTGCTTGCTGGAAGGAAATCGTGTGCTGTGTGACAATCTTCAGTATTCTCTAAGTACTTCAGACACGAAATATAATCTCAGCATTGAATGAGATCAGGTGATCGTGCATAGATGACCCTGTGAATTTTACACAGGGTCATGGCTGGCCGATGTTCTGATAGTACAAAATCGAACTAAAAAAAAACACGCTGGGGAAGAATTCCTTGTTGTTTGTGTGTATTCCAGATTCTGAGTCGAGTTTTGGAATGCTTCCTCGTTTCCATTTTTATTTTTGTCATTTTCCTCGTATCGATCGTGTGTACATAATTCTTCTGCATTCATGTAGGTGCACTTATATGGATCAAGTTAACTTTAATATTATCCCATTCTTCAATTGAAGCGCAGGGTCTGAATTCCGCACTAATGGATTCTGTATTTGGATTTCTTATCCGCTGTAAAACCGTAATTTTTGCATGGTTGAGTTGGACCCGGAAGGAAGGTAGAAATTGTAAAATACCTCGTCTTTGAAATTTTGCCGTTTTCATTTAGTGTTACATATTGTAGGGTTGGAATGTTTAATTTATTGGGGCATATTTTTAGTTTGAAAATACATTTTGAACAAAGGAGATCAAAGCTGATATAGAACCCATTAATTTCTAACATTAACTCATTATGCACTTCCACCATGGTACAGTACGAGACGGCTTCCTGTTCGTGGCTGGAAATAAAAGTACATTACTGTACCTCATACGTTACTCCGAATAGAAACTGATGTGGTTTTTCTTCGGTGTTATTGAGTTCAAGACCGCAGTGCTACACCGAAAGAGATCTGCGGAAGACTTCTGTCATATTGCTCGGACTGTTCTCCTTTTGTGCGCGAACATGTTTAGATGAAGCTATGGACGAAGTATATGAGTTAACTGAAGTTACAGTGCCATGCCCGGCAGCATTCGAATCTGAGCCGATGCAGTATTGATCACGCGGTTCTCGTTTTTATGGCAAATTTCCTGTCTATTTTCAGTATCCTGACGGCCAAAATTGTAGTGATAATCTCGTGCACACCATTGTGATGAACGCGGCGTGGCAGATTGGGCCTACCAACGATAGCTGCGATTGTGATTTCGTGGAGTGTGAGGAGTGTTTGAAGCTTGGTCTATCGGATCCTTCAACACCCGAAGCCGAAGATGAAAGACCGCCCGGAAGTCGTCAAGTTATTCTTGTTGGAGTTTGTGCCATGGAGAAGAAGTCAAGAAGTCGTCCGATGTCGGAGATACTTTCGAGGCTAGAAGAGCGTTTCGAATACATTAAACCGGTCATCTTTGAGGAGAGTGTCATTCTCAACGTGAGTGACATACGCCGAATGTCCGAGTGATACGAATTACTCAAGCTTTTTTCTTCGTTTTTGCATTGAAGGAACCCGTCGAAAATTGGCCAGAAGTGGATTGTCTCATCTCATTTCATAGCAAAGGGTTTCCGTTGGATAAGGCCATAGCTTACGCAGAACTCCGGAAACCATTTGTTATTAACAACCTTCTGTCCCAGTACGATCTCCAAGTAAGTTCAGCACCGTAATCTGCATCCTAGTTATTTTCTTGAGACTTCATTCCGAATCCGTCGGTCCTATGCTAATGGCTGTTCTCCGCTGTTTCTGATCCAGGACCGAAGGAAAGTATATCGTATTTTGCAACGAGAAGGTATCGAACTGCCCCGCTTCGCAGTACTAGATCGGGATAATCCAGTGGGCGAAGGAGCAGATTTGGTGGAAACCGATGATAGTGTTGAAGTGAATGGAAATATTTTCAACAAGCCATTCGTCGAGAAACCTGTATCAGCGGAGGATCATAACATATACATATATTATCCGACGTCTGCGGGTGGTGGATCGCAAAGACTTTTTCGGAAGGTTGGTACACTGTTTTTGCGTTACAGTGGAATAAAGAAGGCGGCCTGAAGTGAAGATCATTTACTGTAACAGATTGGTGTGACATTGGATTTTTAAGATGAAGAAAAATATGTCCTGAAGTGTCGATTAGTGAAAAACGAAGCATTCTTTACTTCGCCACCCGTTTCCCGGTACTTCGAATCAATCCTGCTAAGTGTGAGAACCTTTTGGCAAGAAGAGGTTAACGTACCAAATGCAATATCTTTCCCCAGTCAGAAGCAGTACTCGTTATTCATTAAGTTTCGAAGTTTTTGCCGGCGTACATAATTTTGATATTGCTGCTCAAGATCATGGAGCGGGCTGTAGTCAAGTGAAATACTGTATGTATTACGTTTTAATGCATCTGTTCCTTTTTTTTCAGATACATAACAGAAGCAGCGTTTACAGCTCCGAATCTCGCGTTCGGAAAGCTGGCTCTTTCATTTATGAAGAATTCATGCCGACTGATGGAACAGATGTAAAGGTGGGTCGCAAATGAAATGCCGAATCTCGTTGCCAGGAATAAAGATCCTAAGTATATTTCAGGTTTACACAGTTGGGCTTGATTATGCTCACGCAGAAGCCCGGAAATCGCCCGCTTTAGATGGTAAAGTGGAGCGCGATTCGGAAGGAAAAGAAGTCCGATATCCTGTGATTCTTTCGAATGCTGAAAAATTAATTGCTCGTCGAGTCTGCCAAAGCTTTAATCAAATGGTTTGCGGGTTTGACCTTCTCAGGTAAATCTGATTTTGTACAGTGTCTCTTTCACTATCTTAATGTCGTCGAATACATCTTAGGGCTGACGGGAAGTCGTACGTCTGTGATGTGAACGGCTTCAGTTTCGTGAAAAACAGCTCCAAGTATTACGATGACTGTGCCCAAATCCTAGGCCACATGGTGTTGCGAGAACTCAGTCCTCAAATGCATATCCCGTACACAGCACCGTACCAACTCGAAGATCCACCTTTTGCACCCACTACGTTCGGTAAAATGATGGAGCTGCGCTGCGTGTGTGCAGTTATACGACATGGTGACCGGACGCCGAAGCAGAAGATGAAGATGGAAGTACGGCATCAGAAGTTTTTCGATATTTTTGCTAAATACGGAGGATGGCAGCAAGGACACGTGAAGCTGAAACACCCCAAGCAGCTTCAAGAAATTTTGGATACGGCGAGGGAACTCCTTGCAGACCCTAAGTGAGGAAAACTATTTTTCTTGGGTTGGAAACGTCTTGTCTCGTGTAACCTTCCCACCCTTCAGATGATTGACGTGAATCCGGACCGTGGAAATGAATTTCGGACAAAATTGGATTGGACTTACTGTATTCTCAACTAACTTGGTGCCTTAAATGAAAAACTTAATTTTCTTAGACTCCGACGGAAATTAAAAATTTGGGCGGGTTCACAACCAGAGCTATCGTTCATAAAAAATTGAAAAATCAGCGAGTACAGTAATCGAATTATCTTCTACTTGTAACGTCTTACAACTTTTGAAAATGAACCGAACGCATGATCTGAACTGAAACATGGTGAATTTAAATTGAAAGAGCAACTGTACAAAACTACTTGTATTTGTTAGCCTGAATGTATCTTTTATTACATGTCTGGGCGTCGAACAATTAAAACTACCATTCGTTGGATATTAAGTAGTGTATTATTGACTAATTCTTCATTTCATTCTCTTCCATCTTGACGCACTATCTTTTGTCTGCATTTCGTTTCGATGTTGGTCTGGTGGTTGGCCCTTTTTCTCTCCCTATCTTTCTATATGCCTTGGGATCCACTCGGTTTTGTCTTCGGCTTTCCTCCTCTTTCTACTTATCCTTGCAATCAGCTGGAGGAACCCAAAAATGGAGCAGCTCCGTTCAGTTCTAGAGATGTACGGTCATTTCTCTGGTATTAATCGTAAGGCAAGTGTGTTTTTTTTTTTTCGTGGTGACTTCAGTTTTTGATAATATTATCTGGACTCTTCGGATATTCCAGGTTCAAATGAAGTATAAATCTCGTGACATGACGCCTCCACCGAGTTTAGATTCTTCGGATACGGAATGGGATTCCGGGTTCTCAACGTGGCAAGTTGGAGCCAATGCAGATGGTGGCTCTTTACCATCATCAGTGACTACAGCACCTGCTTTTCCACCGTCGTTCTCACGAAGACCAAGCGAAGATTCGTATTTGGTTCTCATTTTGAAATGGGGAGGAGAGTTGACTCCTGCTGGTAGAGTTCAGGCTGAAGAACTCGGTCGGGTTTTCCGTTGCATGTACCCTGGAGGTCAAGGTGAGTGAATTCAAATTGGTATCTGATTAAGATCCAGGTTTCCGCCTGGTGATGTGAAATAATAATTGACTACTTGTCGTGAATAGACACTTATTCTACTAAGATCAATCGACTTTTCCGCGTTATTAACATATGCGCAGTATAAATGTTTGTATTAATTTCATCGTGAGTGCTTTCGAGCCTCAAGTTCCGAAATCTTTTATATTTTGAACGATTCAGTTATTAACTTTTATAATTTATACCATGTAGTGTATATTCGAGAGTTATTACATTTATTGTTGAAAGTGTTCAATTATGGAATCGATTGAATTCAGAAATTCCGCTGTTCTTCGTGTCTGATTCACATGACGACATCGAACCTTACTCAAAGACACTTTTCCTATTTATGGAATATTCTTGACCCAGAATCGAAACATCGCTGCTAGACAGATAATATTCCTCCCGAAACTATTTTTTCAGCCTGAAACATTTGCATTTTTCGTGTGTTTTTTGAGATTAGGATAGTAGGCTTGACGATTTGCTCGGAAGACCACATGGCGCTTTAGTCTAGTCAGTGTTCCCCAACTCGTGGTCCGCTGACCGGCGCCGGTCCGCAGAAGTTTTTAGCTGGTCCGCGTTGAATTTTCTCAAGCATAATAAATTCATCGAAAGTATTAATGAAGGACATTACAGTATCTTTTTCTATAATTTTTGCAAGACAATGGCAATTAAAATCACTGTATCTCATGAAAAAAGAAAGTTGGCTTTTCTCCTTATAACACTTCAGACAAATTTTTACCCGAAGAAAGAAATTATTTTAACTTATTTTCATTCTGAGAAATCTTTCTTCAAGCCAACATTTCTAATTTTTTGAAGACATTCCAATTGTATAGATGGTTCAATGGTTTTTAACTTAATGTTTGCAAAGAGAAGAAACTTTCTAAATGCCAGCGATAAAGTCTCTCAAACAAAACTTTTTTGAGGCTGCAACAATTTTATGAAACTTTGCCGGTTCGCGAACCCTTGAAGGTTGGGCAACTCTAACTCTAGAGTATTTTGAAACCCTCCCCCCCCGTAATTTTTTCTGTTTCTTGGAGAATAAGAAAAATGTTCCTGCGTGGTTTTCCTTACGTGCAATTTTTCAGGGAGAAAACTTGCTGTGGAGAAATCAAGAATGGAAATTTTTCGTTTCGGTAGAGTGGGAAGATACGTGCAATTTAGAAAAAATCCTGTAATTCTAGATTGAGATGGGCTGAGGGGATGAGTTTTTGTGGCTTGGTATGATTTTGTGTTGTAGTTGAATTTTTTTGTTAAGGCGTACAATTTTTTACCGCTGTTGTTTCTCTCTCTCTCCTCCTCCTCCTCCTCTCTCTCTTCTCTCGATCGTTCTGTTCCTTCGCTTTTGCGTTCCGGACATCCCATGGATGCTTTGGTGCTCTTGCACGACTCGATCTGGCCTCTTTTTTCTTCTTTATTTTTTCTGTTTTGTTCCCTCGGTGGCCTTTGTCGTTGTTCGACGCCTTGCCCTGTACCCGCGCCACGCACATTTGATCGCTCACGCCCGTGAATCGAAAAAAATGAAGCTCACCACATTCATTTAGGCGAGCATGCGGGGGAAGGGCTTGGGCTCCTGCGACTGCATTCCACCTATCGCCATGATCTGAAAATCTACGCTTCCGACGAGGGTCGAGTGCAGATGACGGCTGCTGCGTTCGCAAAGGGTCTGCTTGCCCTGGAGGGTGAGCTCACGCCTATCCTCGTCCAGATGGTCAAGTCGGCCAACACGAACGGGCTGCTTGACAACGACTCGGACTCCTCCAAATGTCAGAACATGTACGCCCGATTACGGTTTCAGACTATTTTCGAATCATACTGTATAATCAATCCATCTTATTACGGTACTTTAAATGCCGGAATGGCCCTGTGCAGATTGAGACTTGTGTCTCGATCGTGCTTTCAGCGATTGAGAGTTTGCTGAGCCTAGAGTAAAGCACGTTAGGATCTAAGGATGGAGATCATTCATATTGACTCTTGTCCATTTCACCCCTATCGACATGAACACGACCTCTCGATTGTCAGCAACACAGTCTTCCGCAACGAGCGGAAGTTAGCTGATGCATTTGTTTCAAGAATGGAAAAAAAAACACCTGGCCCGTCACACCTTTCGAAATTTCTGGGTGGCGTTTATGAATGAATCATAAACATGTTCACACACTTCAGATTCTTGATACCGTATTTAATCGAGTACCACGCGCTCCTTTTCAAGTTCGAGAGGAAAAAGTGGGTGCGCAAAAAGTTTTATAAATTTAGGTGTGCGTTAAACTTGATTCTGATGGAACTATTGGAATTAGTTCAACAGAAAAGCGTATTTTAACGGAAACAACGTAAAATTAGTCAAATTCATGCTCTATTTATGTCCAAATTCAAATTCGAATGACTTTAAATACTGCAGTTTTAGAGTCACTGAGAATAGGGTGCGCGTCTTACTTTTAATTTAATTAATCAAAATCAAACAAATTTAATTTTATCAGAAGTTCCAACCGAAAAGCTCCAGTGTGCGTTGTACTCAAGTACGCGTGGTACTCGAGTAAGTACGGGTATATTGAATAATTGAATTTAGCTTAAATGGCTGCGCCTACTAATTTTACTGGAGAAGAGGTTCTTGTTGAGTTTATGTTACTTTCGACGATTGTTCGAGGAATACTTTTAAAAATGCACGAGTTCCGCTTGCTAATTAAAAATTTTCAAGATGGGTTGAGTTCCTTTTCCGGGAATTCCTAGACGATTTCTGCGTTTGTCAACGCTTCTAAATTTTAACACTTCGCGGTGATATTCGTTAATTTTCTTCCACAGAAAATAAATTTTGGCATTGAAAGAAGAGCGGTTGAATGAAATTTGTTCTTCGAGAAAATGTTGCTACAATCGCGGTGCATGGCCTGTTCTTTGTCTTTCAGAGCTAAGGCGAGACTATACGAAATGCTGCAAGTGGATCGAGTGCTTTCAAGAGAGGAACGCGCCAGGATGAACCCTACAGGAGACCTGAGTTTATCGGCAGCGTTGCAGATAATTGGCAACCCTGCGGAAACGTGCAGAAAAATCCATGGATACATCAGATTATTGATTACCCTGGCGACGAACAAATCACTAGATCCCAGAACGCGAGGTGTGCTATCGTACAGTATGATGCAATATTCAGTATTTGAAATGTTCCCGCCTTGGCCCTGAGTCAATGTAGACCATGACTCGGTCGCGCGTTCAGCGATCGAGAGTTTCTGGGGCCTAAATTGAAGTACGATAGGATCTAAGGATGGAGATCATTTTATTTTCTTTCATCCATTTCACCCCTATCGACATTTGCACAAGTTCAACAACACAATATGTGATGTGTGAAGTGCTGAAAGGAGCAAATCTATTCTATTAAGATGTACGCACACGAAATCCGTTTGGCTTTTTGAACGCTCGAGCTTCTTTTTTTTTTTTAGTTCACCACAGGTTTCCCCTGAATTGAGAACATATCCCGATAAACTGAACAAATTGAACCAAGCGAGATGCCTACGAAATTCACGAAAATGCACGTCTTGGATGATAAATGCATGAAATCCTGAAGAAAATTGAGGATTGAAGTGCAAGAACCGTCAGTTGTCCGTTAGAATTTCTTAAAAATTACATGATTGTATTATATATTCAAAATTTCGTTTATTTTACTTATTTATTTCTCAGATGTCACCTTGTACTTGGGTGAAACATGGGCTTGGATGCTTAATCGGTGGAGCAAGTTAGACAAGGACTTCTTTACCAAAGAAGGAAAATACGATATTTCGAAAATCCCAGACATATACGACTGCGTCAAGTACGATCTTCAGCACAATCAGTACACGATTCAATTTCCGCAAACTCCCGAACTTTATACGCTGGCCAAAGCTATGGCTGACGTTGTGATTCCGCAAGAATATGGATTGACTGCTCAAGAAAAGCTTACGATTGGTGAGTTGGCCTGAAGTGCATTCTGCTATCCACAGGGTTGTCTGATAAATGCCTTATGTTTCCATTGGAAAAGGTGCGTGAGAAACACGGTTACAAATGCGCATTTCAAGCTTTACCTGTTGTTTATTTTCCCCAGAAATTTTCATTTCTGTGAAATCTTGATGCTGGGTTTTTAGCTCTTCACTAATGTATTTATATTCATTAAATGATTTTATTTCTATACCTGAGTCGGTAAATACAATACAGTATTTCGTTTCTTCCTGTAGAACTGTGCACGGTATCATTATCCCGGAAATTTCCTTATGTTTGATTAAACGGTGTGTCAGTCCATTACATTGGAACTGCGGTGATTTTTCTGAAGCGGAAAACGAATTTTCAAATAATTTACATTTTTATTTCAGAACCAGTTTTCAATGCACATTTAGCAAAGATATCTTGATTATGAGCAAAAATTTCTGGAGGCTGGTCAGCATTAAATTATACATGCATAAGAAAACCGGATGAGGCATCTGAGCAAGGAAAGAAACAAACCTTTTCCTTTTCACTGTGCTTTTTTAACGGCCATGATTTTCGCGACATAGGTCAAGGAATTTGCGCACCGTTGTTGCGCAAGTTGAGAGCAGACATGCAGCGGAATTTAATGGAGGAAAATGAAGAAGCCGAGTCGGTGAATAGACTTCATCCGCATTATTCTCGCGGAGTCAGCAGTCCCAGCAGACATGTTCGAACGCGACTGTACTTCACTTCCGAATCGCATATCCACAGCCTAGTTTCTATTTTGCGCTATGGGTGTCTGGTTGATGTGAGTACTGTATCTTCATTACTCCCGATTTTGTTTCTCGATCATAAGAGATACTAATGTTGCTAGTGTGTTTCCCTGAATTTGGACAATGGATTATTGTGAGGGTATGCTCTGAAGACAACTTCAAAATCAGGATTTGAATATCCAGTTTGATGTTGGGGTTTGAAATATTGCTCTTTGGTATCTTCAAGGCAGATCAGCGGGGGAAAAAAAGAGTGGAAGGATTTGGAGAACGGCAAATTTGACCTGTCAGTTTTTTTTTTTTTTCTTGAAAAAGATCATTTATTTCTCTGTGTCACGATTCCCGGAAAAGATAAACTGGGTGAGACATAATTTTGGGTTAGACTTTGACGGTGATGACATTTTTTCTTGGAATAATGTTGCGGGTTCTTTGATATTTGGATCTTTTTGGGGGGACGAGTTAAGAACAGTTTTCTGAAGAATATAGAATTATCCACAGCCATATCCCGTCGTACCTCTGAAAGTCGTGTTTTTGTTCGTCAAATGATATCACGTACAGTATGCAGTATTGTATTATTTTTGCTTTAACTCACTTGTTCAAGTAAAAAGTTCGTTAGGATTTATTTTGGCTTAATGAGGTGGTACAGTCGATAAAACCCCGACTTTCTGGGAACCCCTGCCAGTATGCAACTGGGTATAGATCACAGAATTTTTGAATAGCACCGGACGACCCCCGCCTTATTTTTTTTATTTTTTATTTTAGAATATAAATTTGCCTATAATTAATTTCTCTCAATTTGTCGCTTGGGAGAAGTGTTACTCGAAGCCATAAGTCTCCGTGCTGTTCACTTACGTGTTTTTTCAATTTTTTTTTTTCAGGAGTCCGAAGATAAGCAGTGGAACAGAGCTATGGAATATGTCGGAGCGGTATCTGAACTCAGCTATCTCAGCCAGTTGGTAATCATGCTCTATGAAGACCCTACCAAAGAGCCAGAATCCGATGAGAGGTAAGAAGCAATTTAATATAACTGAGGTTGCATCTGAGAACATGTAAAGGCATTCTTTCTGATGTACACTATAATCCTGTGGCGAGTCGGTTTTCTTCTTCGTTTTTACATTTTCATTTTGCTCATGGCGATGTACCGTTTTAGTGAACGATTTCGAATAAGCTGCCACAAAAATGCAATGAGAAACTGGAAGGTGAATTTTTTTATTTTTTTTATTTTTACACCTTCTAGATTCCACGTGGAGGTACACTTCAGTCCAGGAGTTAATTGTTGTGTGGGTAAAGAACTCCCTCCGGGGCCAGGATTTCGACCACAAGCCTGCGATTCTGGAAGCAAGTCCCCTCCTTTGAATCGCCGTCGTGATCCCGATGTGATTGTCGAAGAAAGCAGCATTGGGGAGGATCGCAATGGAAAAAGCGACGATGAGAAAGAAATCGATCGGGTTGATTCTCCGAACTTATCTCGTTCCGTAGGTTTTAATCCGGACAGTTCTGACACCTCGAGCGCTTCCGCGGCCGACGTCCCATGATTTGAGATTTTCATTGTTATTGTGAAAAAAAAAATAGCCATACATGGCCTAACCTAATCCAATTCTGCCTAACTTGAAAATTGAAGCCCAACGAATTTTCAACAAACTGCAGGCGACACCTGTTGGCTTTACGTTTGGAGAACCTTATTTTTCATGTACTGTACAGTAATTAAGATCGCGCTTGATCATTTTTATGAACCTTCTTGAATACTTGAATCACATGCTTTTAACGTCTCGCGTAGTTGTTTAAAACAACGAAGTAGAACTTCGAATTTCCTTGTCCTAACTGTGAATTCCATCAAAATATCCCTGGAAAATATTGTTCACATTCTTCACGAATTAGAATCCGTGCAGCACGCGTTACGAACTCGTCAGTGTGTTGGTCAATTTTATTTAGCCGAATTTATTTCGATCCGACTAGAATTACTTCATCATCAAAGAATCAAGTTTATCATTTCGCTTATCCGTGATCTAAAATTTTCCAGGATATATCCGGTTTTTGGCCGTACAGTATGTTGTACGTCGCTCGAGGCGCGGTTTTGAATTCAAGCTGACCTAGAGATTTTTTTAGTCCGTCGGCTTTATAATTACTGTACTCTTGAAAGTGGTCATGCATTGAAGATTAATATCGCCTAATTCTCAAGTTGATTTCCGGACTAATTTTGCAGCGTTTGCCTGATAGCAGCGAGAAGGAAGGCTGGCCGTCTAGCGAAGAAGTTTTCCTACGTCCCAAAGTGGTGCGTGGTAGTTCAGATCCCACCTCGAACACCCCGTTGCATCTACACTCGCCATGTGTTTCAATGAGAACATCAAGAGCCTCTGGGGCGCATGGACAGTGTAAACAAACGTTGGATTTGATGGCGCAAGAAACTGCGTGCCGAATTCCCCGTTCATCCTCCGTCAGTGAGTCCACTAGAGGTTCGTATTTATTAATTTTCGTCATTTTGTGCATACTGTACGCTGTTCACCTAGGTTTGAAAAATTGTGTAACACTTGAGGTGGATTTTCGGAATGAAACTAGTGCGTAAAACGCACGTTCTTTGAGAAAGCGCATTTAAAATGGGTCAGATTGGAGGTGCCTGAAAGAGTTTCTTTGATGGAAATAGGGTTAATCACGCCAAGGGATGCTAAAAATTCCAAGCAAGAAAATAACGATTTTATTGAACATTGGTTTCTGCTGAATCCCGATTTCTTTTCTCGAATTGACACGCTCACACTTGATCTGATGTGGGTAATAGCGAAACAAGAATACTGTACGTTTTGAGGAACATTTTTTAAAATTTAGGCACAGGACCGGCAAACTCGCCGCAGAGTCGGAAGCACAGGCACTCATTCGAATCAACTCGATCGAGTCCGAGTTTTCTGAAGCCCACGATGAGCAATCGCAGTCTTCTCGGATCTTCCAATACGGTGTCCATGTTTTCAACTGCTGTGATTTCCGGTAATATTAAATTGAACGACGAGGAGCAAGACTCGGCCGAGGACGGCCCTATTGCAGGTCAGTTCGAAATCATTTATTTTTTGCTTTTTAGAATGCGGGTATTGAACAGTTTCTCAATACAGTATTTGCAAGTATCATTTGCTCTGTCATTTAGCTATATTCTGTATGATCTGCTCCGTATTCGGAGGCATGTCGTAAACGCGTGTGGCCTGTGTTCACGGAAATAATTCGGCGGAAATCTGCTGGTTTTTGCCGTTGTGAACGGGGCCGAAAGCAAAAATTGATAGGTTCTAAGGATGTGTATCCCTGATCGGTGCTCGTCCATTTCACCCCTATCGACACTGTGATAGCCGTAGTATTCTCAAATTTTGCTGTACTGTATAGTGATTAAATTAGTTGCCCATGTGATAACTCATATCCCACCCTTTCTTTATTATTGTGGGGAATTCATTTCTTGATGGATTAATGGCGATTTTTTTATTTGAATTCTTTGTTTCGTTGAAACAGCACGAAATATGAGGTTTGCTCATCAGTTTTGTCACCCTTCTGCTTCTCAGGTTGAAATTATATGGAACGTAGGTGGATCCAATTTTTACAGACGGCAATATTTTTTTTACTCCTGTTGCAACTGTTTCTCCACCATCTTGTAATGAATAAAAGACGAAGTTGAAGTGCAACGGATCACTGAGTTAGAAAAACCAAGGTTCCGTGCTGCAATGGCGGGCTTCATCCGCAAGTGCTTTAAGAACTCCTAAATTATATTGAACCAAATATTTAAAATGTATGATGAATATTCTACCTTATGCTATCGATGTTTTTTTTTTATATTTCCGAGTGTGTTCCCAGCATTGTCAATACTGAGAAACAAATCACTCGAGGAAGGGATACAAGTGAAGCGTATCTACTGTGCTTTAAATGAACAGCGATTTGAGAGTCTAAGAACTTCACTTCAAGAGGTACTAATTAAAATATTGAAACATTCTTCGTAGCCACGGAGTGATTCTCCTGGACTTGGACGTGCGTCTCAGTCAGGATTTGGAAAGCATAAAATGTTTCGTCTTTGTGTAATACCTGTAGTAAACTTACGACACCAAACATTTGAAACTAAATCTTATTGAAAACTTTCGTTTGACGGACGATTTCCATTTTTTCCCAGTTCGTGCGTGTGGTGGTGTGCCTGGAATACGACCGCTGGAAACGCTGCATAATTCTCTGAGCCTGAAGCAGCTCGATGGATTCTTGGAGCGACTGACCACACCATCCCGGTCTTCCAGCATGAAGGGTATTTATAGTCCGTCCTGATTGTTGGACTTGCTCCTCCATCGCTGCTCCCTGGCGAACGTTGAGGAGGTACGTGATCCGGATGCTCTGGCTGATTCATGAGTCCTCGTTCTCGTCCATGTTTTTGCGGAACTGGTTTTCGGTTTTTTTCCGGTTTTCAAGTCTTGTGTTTACCGGCTTCTTCGTTTTTTTTTTTTTTTAATAGTAGTGCTACTTCAGGAGACGTATTCAGCAGTACGTTCGTAAGTTCCGAGTGCCGTACTTTGCCGCGGGTGGCAGACGTGGAGTGAGATGTACTGTACAACGTTTCGAGGAATTAATTCAGGTGTTACGGCATGTGTAGCTGGTCCGTTCGTTTTTCGACAAGTTTCCTTTATGCTTGATGGTAAATGTCCGGCGGAACAGCGAAAAGTCCAACAATTGCTTTGTTACATTTTCGAAAGGGTTGTGGTAATTTTAGGCGAGTGACTAGTGTTTTCCGGCGCGATCTAGGAATATGTCAGTCGACCTGTGCCGTACAGTACATGTCCGATGCCAAATTTTGAGAAAATGTGATCTGATATTCTGAATTGAGCTTCACGACTTAGTTCAGTGCCACGTGTAGGAAGAACGGGTTCAGCTTCAGTGGAAGTGTCGTCGTTGTGGCGTTAGTTGTACTGCCATATTTTATTTGTTTTACTGTTTCATATCCGTACCGGTACCATTTTCACTAATACTGTACCACATTTTAGTATACTGTACAGTACTCTGATACAACATTTGCTTGATAACGCATTATTATGAGGAACGAGAAGTTTCTCCATGTGGGGAATTTATTTTAAGGTTGCCTCACGTGGAAGCTGTCTGTTGTAGGATCGGATTCGAACCTTTGAGATTTTTGAACTTGCTCGCACTGTGATACAAGTTCGTAGTTGCTATTTAGTCACAGCAAAATTGATCTGGTAAAATCAGCAGTATTCTTCTGCGGATAGGTTGTAGAATAGTTGTTGGAGCTTCTCATGGTTGTCAAGTTGATGTGTATTCATTCCCACATTCCATTCAAATTCAAAACAAAAGAAACTCGCGTTGTGAACTGGAGACAGAATGTTCGCACTGTTACCGAAAAACTAACGGTTGCTTTACGCGCAGCGTGGAAGGCATATTTTTATGTGGAGAACCCTTATTCTTTTTTTTCGGGGAAGACACCACGGAAAGCGGTTTAAAATTCTAAATTGGGAGCAAAATCCAATTCATTTTGGTTAGTTGTCTGTAACTTTTCCATTTAAATGCACTGAGGGTTGTGATTCACACGTAATTGAAGTGCGCAGAACGTGAAGTAAAAGCATAATTACTTACTGCAAGATACTTGTGCTGCATTGAAATACCCTCAAGATATCGCTCTCACGACTCAGAATAATGAATTGCTGCAATATCGCTCAGTTGGTAGAGCTTTTCATTTGATCAATCGATTAATGTTTTAGCCACCGTTTTAAATCTTGAAAAACAATATTTTAGAGGAATTTATTGTGAAAATTGCAGCACTTTTAACGCTGAATTGTTCGAGGTAAGTTTACTTTTCTTGGGCGCATGTTAGATTTTACAATAATTTTGCTAGTGGAAAATAGTTTGAAATTGACCGCCAAGTGGTTTAGTCTCATCCTTCAAATTATGGGGATTAGATTATCGGTCAACTTCTGGTTTGCCTAAACTATCCCCATGACGTTCTAAAATCCCCTAATTTCCATAATTTCTGTCGACGAGTTTATTCCAGTGATTTGAAAAAGATTTATTGTGATTCAGATTGCGTTGACTTTGACAAATGAGTCCTTCGTTGATCTTAGATCCTCGCTAGTATTCTTTTAGCTTGAGTGCACGCTAGAGTAAGACGTCGTGTGATGATCCTCTAGGTCTACCGATGTAGTCCGTGTGAAATATTGGTCCAAACTGAGTACTGTATGCGTTATTGACAATTCGTCTCGTGAATGCGGATGTTCCGGAATCCCTGTTGGTGGTTGTATGTCCAATTGACTTTTGCGTCTCTTGCGAGTGGACTATTCGGAGAAGAGAGAGAAAAAAGACTGTTTTTTGAGTTGGGGCTGTGAGTCAAATCCATTTCGTGAGCGTGTGTGTGAGTAAGCGTGAGATATGTGAGATAACCATCATTGTTTTTTGTGACCTGCGTGTTGGTCCTCATGTGACACGTTTCTCCATGTGACCGAATTATGTCAACGATGTTGAGTGCGGGTTCCGCGGTGACATGGCGGACAGCGGCAGCAACGGGAGTGTCTAGGCTGAAGCTGGCTTTGGGGAATTACTCCGCTGCGGTCGCCTTTAGTCATTCGATGGAAACCCAGAACGGCAGTGTCGATTTGCCAGGTTCGACGGATGGCATGTCGTCGTCGTCGCCGCCGCCGCGGGAGTGGCGCTTCCGGCGGCTGTTCGATGCTCACGGTGGTGCGAAGTTTGCGACGGTTGTGCTCAATTCGGAGATCGGCAGCGAGCGGAAAGCGACCGTGTTTGACTTATGGAAGCGAGGTTAGTCTGTTTCTGGATACCGCATGAATTGGGGTGTTCTTATTTGAACAAAATTGACGTTCGGTGCAGTGACCGGATTTTGTGGATATCTTCGCTCAATTTCTCCGAAAAGGAATTCCCCGAATACTTTATCAGAAAATGAAAGGTTTTCTCCCAGTCTCGTAACTTTCTTGAAGTAAAGTTGAATTTTCAACAAAGTGTAACGTACCAGTTTAGAAAAGAATCTTTTTTCGCTTAATGGATTTTTTTCACTTTATCTTTTCAGTGGTTTTCACCAATTTTAAGATGAGCCAATGTTCACGTACTGCATTCATGGCTTATGTGCGCAACTACCTCCATCTCACATCAAAATCTCATAGCTAAACAAATGATTCCCCGTAAATCATATCAATGGTCTGTACAGCATTTGACTGAGGATGAAAAAGAAAAGTTTAATTTCGAACATTTAAAATCCTGATTTTTACGCGGACAAATCTCACTCTCCATCCGATCGTGCCCCGAATCCTCTTGAGAATGAGGATGGTGTGCGTACATTTTCCCGATTTTGTCGCATTCCTTAGAATTCTATTTAATTTTCACGACGCATGATGTTATAATTTTCGGAATGCAGCTTGAAATTTTCCTCGCAAAAGGCGGATTGTAAGAAGTATGAATCATAAAGGGTGGAATCCAATTGATCTACAGATTCGAAAATGCGCTCCATGAGTTAAATTTGCCTGCCACCGTTGTACGTAGTACTGTACTTTAAATTGTCAGGTTTTCAATAGTTTTCCCAAATGTATAGCATAATTGAAGAAACGTGTAATTTCTCTATCATGTGCACACAAAAATCCCGATTGAAATTCAGTGTGAAAGTTAATTCTTTAAATGTCAGTTGGTGAATTATAAATTGTTCGTCAGGGCCGAAGAGTGAAGTCCCCCAAAAGTTAATATTTTAGCATTGAATGTTGCCTCTAGTTCTGCCTTTTTGGCATTTATACCACCGTGGTTTTGAGGATAATAATTGAGGTACTAACTACTAAGACATATTTGAACATATATGCAAAGTAATTGCACAACTTTAGAATCATCCTTCATTTATACAGGGTATATAAGAGGAAAAGCTAAGCGCTGTTTCTACGGATAGTCATAATTCTGCGTAGAATGTTTCTATATCTGAAGAAACACATTTTGGGATCATCCATCTTGAGATGATTCATTTTCTTCCATTCAAGTATTCTGTAAGATTACGATTCGTCTCGATGCAATAGCTTTTGGACTGTATTCCCTCCTGTAGAACAAGGGATGTGTACGTAGTTTTGAACAAGATCAGCATGCGACGTGTTGATTTTAAAGTACCGTATTCAAACTAAGTGTTATCTTGGAAACTTTTCTCGTTTTGTCATAGCCAAAATAAAAGTTGCTGTTGATGGAGGATTGAACCGGATCTGGGGTCTGGTGAAGGAAAGGTCAGAAACCGTTGGTGTGGAAGATGAACAGTCCTTGATCCCTGACTTGGTGACCGGGGATTTCGATTCTGCATCGCCAGGTTTAGTGGATGCACTTCGCAAACGTGGCTCAAATATTGTACCGACTCCGGATCAGGATGAGACCGATTTCACGAAAAGTCTGCGCATTCTCCATCACCTCTTGATCGAGAACAAGTCTTTGGAAGTGCGTCATCTATTCTTAAATTAACCTAAATTAATCAGTAATAAATAGTATTCTCTCTAAATTTCAGATAGAAGCTGTGATAGTCATTGGGAGCAATGGGCCTCGTCTTGATCACATTTTCGGCTTGATTCATACGTTGCATAAGAAGGAGAATATGAAATTGCTCGGTGAAGTGAATCTCTTTTTGCTTATGGATGAAGACATTTGCTGGTTATTACCTCCCGGTGGACACATACTTGAGGCCCCAAAAACCTTACGTGGTGAAACTTGTGGCCTTATACCTTTCCAGCGACCTGCCAAGGGAGTGACTTCTACAGGCCTGAAGTGGAACTTGGGTGAGTTCATCGTATATAGAATTAATTAAAAAACAAACGTTTTTTGAACTGAAGAGTGGATAATTAAAGTGTGCATTGATAGTGAGACGTTAAGATTTTTTGAAAATAATTCTTGATTCAAGTTATACAATTCAAATCTCTAGTTCCGAACATTCAAATTTAGATAAGCTGCTGCTATTTGCTTGTGGAAGTTCATTAAAAGAAAATACTGTACATAATAGGAATTAAATTCGTATTTTATTATCTAGAAATAAAATTGAATAATTCCGACATGCGTAAAATGCTACATGATTAGCTGATGTTCTTTGAAGTAAATTGTCTTCTTGTACCTAGTTTTTTTTTATTCTAAACCTTTCCGGCAGTTATTTGGCAGGAGCATATTTGAGTTGTCGAAATTTTGGAATACGGCGTTTCTGATGTTTTCATCATAAGTGAAGATGTTAGTAATGGTTGTAGAAGAAGGAAAATTTTCGAATTAATGTTCTAAAAACATCATACAGGTGGATTCTCTGTACATTATATCCAATTTTTCAAAGTCTCCATGTTTCAAAGGTTCTTCATATTTTTATTTTGGTCTCTTGTGTTTTGTAACATATATTACTGTTCAACTGTATACAAGTGAAGTATTCTAATACAAATTTATTCTTTCTCAAGAATTTAACTTGTCTCAATAATTTGAATAAAAATAGGCGATATTTAAATCGATTAACCTTGATATTTAGTTTGTGCGTTTGCTTTTCTGTTCTCAGAAAATCAGACGTTGGAGTTTGGAAATCTCATCAGTACCTCGAACAAATTCACCGAAGTGGAGAATATTGGTGTTCAGTGCAATGACCCAATTTTATGGATATCTTCACTAAATTTTTCAGCAAAGGGATTTTGTAAGTAACAGCAAATGAAAGCTTTTCTCTCGAAGTTTTGTCTATTTTTTACGTTGAATCTGAATTATTCACAGATGTCTCGACAGGATTTTGAAGTGTGAAATTTACATTGATAGTTGGTTAGTTTTTCTCCACGAGTTAGAATACGCGAGGCATTTTAAGAACAAGTTTAATTTCTCTGACTTTATGAAGAACAGGGATTCACGCTGAATTAGGTTCTTCTGGGGTTGAATCACTTTCCCTTTTGGTATTCGGTATATAAGGGCGCGGTTCGATGTGTTGGTAACCCCGATGCCGCGCGTAGGTCACTGCGTCAAATAGTGTGGGAAAGAAAAATTCCATAGGTGATTGATCTTCGATGAAACGCGACCTTAGTAATTTTTCCAACGTTCCTACTGTTGGGCCAGCGAACAGAATTTGTACGTTGACACGGTCATAGTCAACCACAAGAGTCTTGAGAAATTGGATTGCTGCCAAATCCACGATTAGGGTTGAACTCAGATCGATGATCAAATATCGTAATGGTAATGGATTGCCAATTCGATCAACGTGTATGCTATTTCTACGTGGAGCGCCATTTTCAACGCTGGAAAGAAATACCAGGGATTTTTAAATGTACGGGTTTTGTGAAGGGTGAATTTGACTCACGCTTGAGATTGGTCAGGTTCGGTTTCGTCTTCTTCCTCATTTTTTTCGAAATTCCAAGGTTCAAAATCGGAAATTTCCTCATTGTTGCTGTAAACTTCCAAGTCTTCGTCGAGGATAACACCCACAGGTTTTTCAGTAGGACGCCTTACTTTTTCCTGTTAGAGAGAAAAAAATAAGAGGATATCCCAGGCACAAAACTATCACCAATTTCCTCACCAGGTCTGTAAATTGCTTCACTTCTTTCGACACGTCCCGTTTGCCGTTCAATGGTCCGACGAATGGCAACAGTTGTGAAGAAGAGATAAGTTTGGACTTGGCAGATGAAAAGCTCCTTCGAAGCAAGCCCTTCTTCTGTAAAGTTTCTGCGGCAGGAGTCATGTGTTTAAACCAACACTCTGGATCAAAGTCAGTCTTTTTTGATAACATTCGCCGATATTCCGCCACGTTGGCGAAGTGTAGCACTCCACTGAACTTGAAAATCCGGATATTGTGTATTGCCTTAACCTGTCGTGCAAATATTTCAAACTATTGATGTTTTTTGGTTATGAAATATTTTTCAAAAATGAGTGAAGTATTGTACATGGTGCGCAGGAATTATCGAACCGATGCTAAGAATAAAACATTACGGGGGAAATAAGCGGAGTATTTGAGAGTTGTCCGAGTGGACACAATCACTGAAATTTTAAAAGTTGATTTAATCGTTGAAAAAAATTACGCAGCTAATACATCATAGAACAGTTTGTCATCCTGCAGTAAGTTGAAAAAAGTTTTTTAATTTCGGAAACATCAATTTTTTTGCACAAAAGTACTTACTATCATTTATCGCATCCAACTGTGAGAATTTAAAATTTAAGAATAAATTCCAAACCTTGGATTGACCGCATCCTTCCTACATACCTAACAAGTAGAAGAGACTCTCTGCTTGAATTGGATTCAGGAGTGTTATGTAACCTTTCAAGTCTTTTTTTCTTGAAAATAGAGCCAGAAAAAAAATCATGCATTTCCTATGGAAAAGGATTCAAAAGTATGAGAGGTTGCGATTTATTTTCAAGTCAATTTCCAATTAAGGTGCATCGCCACGCCATTTGTATTCTCGGTAAGTTCAGAATTGTTGCACAATTTTACCAATTTCATTTGGCTACTTGTTCAAACATTTAATTTTAAAAATTGCCTCGAGCTACTCTTGATTTTCAAGGAATCCAAAATTTACCCAAGATCTAGGGTAAAGCTTGCCTCGGTGAATTTGGCGGGATTGGCAAAGAGTTCAGTTCCGGGTATTTGACCCAGAGCCGTGGCCTCGCCAAAATAAGACGTCCACAGCAGTGCGGCAAAGCTCATTCCCAAACCAGCAACCAGGCCCCACTCAATGTCAACCAAAACCACGGTGAAGAAAGTTGCGAACCAAATAAAGCTGTCGAGACGGTTTGTCCAGAAAACATGCTCCAAGTCTTCAAACTGCAGGAACAGCCCCTTGAGTGAAACGACTATGAGGCTGGCGAGAACGCACTGCGAATAGACGACGGGTTCAATCGTGATTATTTCAGTACAGAACCTGTATTGCATAGATAAGTTTATCTACACGTAGGCCTCGATAAAAATTTATTCTCGTACATTCATTAAAGAATAAATGAATAACGCACACACCATAACAAATAATTAAGAGGAACTAGTGTTGCTTTGGAAGTTGAGCTTACAATTCAATGCGTATGAAAAAAATTGATGGCACGATAAACTACACTAATCTACCGTGTCCCGCTATTTCGATTAAATAATGTTTTCAAGACTCAAAACTGTGTAGTGCTACATGTTATGGCGTTGCCGTTTCAAGTCCCTTCACGAAGTACCGAATGATTAGGGTTTCGACGTTGAAAAAAACACACTGCTCAATATTGCCAATCAACTATCAAGACGCTGTATGTAACTGTAATTGAAAAAAGCTTCGTAGAAACTTGAGTTTTCGACAATAATTCTCGTACATTTAATTATGTGAAGATAACAGTTCAACACAATATCCGAAGCAAAAATTGGTGGAAGCCGTGAACGTCATTATCAGGGTTCAACACTTCATTGTCTTCCCATAGTTGTCTATATATTCATAGAAAAATGTTTAGTAAAATAATGAGATACCTCTTATCAAAATTATCTTTCAGAATTAATCAGCCTAATGAAATTGGTGCCCAAGAGGAAGGGAAATGATGGGCCTTCCGAATCAAGGGGATAGTTTATCAATTCAGATTCAAACTTCAAGAATTGGCGACAGAAGCAAATAGGGTTTCAACTCCCAAGGTTCGTACTTTGTGTTTTGAATATCGGAAAATGATTACGAGAAAGTACAAAATGTAAATGAGAAAAGAACTGCTTTGGAAAATCGCTTCACCGTGGGCAGCATTTCGAAGAATTTGGCGACGACCAGCAAGACGAACACCAGAAGAAGAGCACTGACAATGCTGGCCACTTGAGTTACACCACCCGTGACCTGTTGGATCACACTTCTAGACAACGACGCAGCGATTGGCCCCGACATGAAGAATGAACCCACCACATTAGCGGTTCCCTTAAGAAAAAAAAAGAATATTCCGAAAATGTATCACATCAGTTCGACAAATATCCTTAGAATGTTGAATTTGTGAAAACAGCGGCGAATTGATGTATCACTCACCATGGCCAGAAGTTCTTGGTTGGGGAGAACGTCATAGGTCCATTTCCGCGCCAGAATTCGGCCCATTGAGTACGAGGTAGTGAAGGACACCAATCCAATAGCCATAGACCAAATTATCACTTCCTTTTTCCAGAGCAGTTCGAGAGGGAAAGTTCGAAAGTACGGCAACCTGAAAAAATAAAATACAGTATGAATATACGGTATTCGAACACAATATATAAATATGAAACAGAACGAAATGTTTTGCAACGCATGATGGCTGGCATATTACGGATGGCATAGCCATCCTAAAATCGTCGCGCAATTGAGAAAGTCAATTCGGATAATCAGATTTTCGGAAGATATCGTCTATACTCTATAGGTTCCAAAAGTTATCCACTTGGATTGTTTTCTAAAAGTTCTGCCGGATCCCGAAAGAATATAAATCACCTCATAATAACAGAAACATTCTCGCCTGATTCTGATGCCAATTTATGGTCGACTCGCAATACACTTCACAGTACAGTATAATAGAATCCTCATGCGTCACAAATTTAATTCGCGGCCAATCTTACCCGAGAGGAATCGTACCGATGACTTGGACACCGTGTCGCGAAGCCAAATTCAGCCAAGTCGACAACCCAATCCCTATACACATCAGTACCAATTCCATGGGGAAAGGAAACGGACAAAACTTCAAGAGCATTTTCTGAAAAGCGACGTAAAATGAAGTATCGAGCATTTGGTGTGCGTTTCGATATTCTTACCCTCATTAAATCATTATTGATGATCAACACGGTCATGGTGAAGACCGATATCACAACGGCGACCGTGTTAGCCAAGTGCATGCGAGTCAGCACTAGATAATGCAACTGGAAAGATACAAACGCGAAATAAATAGCGAATGATACACTGGTTGGGATTCCCGAAGCATGTTTACATGGAAATGCTTCGGAAAAGTTGTCGTCCAGTCTGTTGTTTCCAGGCCGAAGAGGGTTGGAACTTGAGACGTGATGACCAAGAAGGCAGCACCTGTCGTGAACCCACTCACAAGCGTGTCCGACAGCAGCACTGACAACAGGCTTCCCATCCTGGTGATTCCCAGAACTATCTGAAACGACGGAAATGGGAATTGAAAACGAGCGTTCATTTTACACAGTGTATCTGCTGTGAGAAAGAAATAAGGTTGGATTAATTTTGACATGACGGGAATATTTATTCATAATGCGTCGGAGAAATGACTGCAAAGCAAAATACGTAGCAGACTTCGTGTAAGTCTAAAATCTTGTGTAGACGCACACAGATGCATTTCATGTCTGCAGCCTGACAATTGATGTGCGAATAAGGGTACGCTGCGAAATTCTGAAAGGGAAATTCATCACTTGACAGGCTTTGATTCGAATTTGTTGGAAACGGAATTTTTATCTTCAGTTGCCCTAGCCAATTTTCTTTCAACGTTCTTCAAATTGTCTCATTATTCGGCGATTCCATAGTGTACTTGTTCTTAGATTTTTTTTTATTATTTCTGCGTGATGTTCTCTCGGATTTTCGCTGTAGAAATTTCTGAAAAGCCTCTTTTAGCTGATCATTTGAGCAAACTGTTGGAAGAAACTGGAAGTTCGCTCGCATATTCTTGCTGGGTTCGAAGTCAGAATGCATCAAGATACATTAATTAGATTTTAAATACAGTAGTAGGAACAATTCAAGGCTTTGGCACATTTTCTTAAGAATAATGTATAATTTTAAGAAATTCGAAGATGCTGAATCAGGAAGTTCAAGGGCTTTAAAAAACCAGAAATTATTCAAGGAGGAATGATTCGAAGCGAACAGGAGAAACCATAGGAATAACATCGACTTGGAAATGCCTTTGTCGACATTTGAAATATTACTGTGACAGTGACATCTACAAGTATACAGCCAAAGTTCTATTACAACAGATCAATTATATTAATACATAATGAAGCATTTACAACATATTGAATCATTGCTTAAACGTCTCGGGTAGAATACTGGGGACATAAAGTAATGAAAACTTTTCAGGATTAATTCCATTACATTAGTTTCTTGTTGGTACGTGTACAGGTGGACTAAGCCAACATATGTCATCAAATGGTTGACGAAGTTTTTAATCCTTGGTAATTCTTACAACACTCCAGTGAAAATCGAAAAAATTTCTCAAACCTGCCAGATTCCAATAGCAAATGTCATCAATGTCATAAGCTCCTCCCGCGTGTACGGCGGAATTTCTTGGGGATTTTCAAAAAAAGTCTGGTCAATCGCGAATCCGGTCATGTACATGACCACAGCAAATGTACCTAAAAATTGTTACGAGCCCATTAAAATTTAGCAGTAATTAATTAAAAGGTACGACAGTGCTATATACTTCCGAAGAACTCACCCATTGAGTTGTGGTGGCTGGTTCCGAGAAGCACGTAGACTATCGCAGGTAGGAGTGCAACATAAAGACCTCGAACTGGTTCGACCCTCGCCAGAGAAGCATATCCTAAGCCTGGGATTAAAAAGACAAGAACGAGGGATCACTGAACGTTTGAGGAAATAAAATGAACATGTTCGGAGAAGCAAGTGCACTCGGAGATTCAGCATATTTCGAAGGAGATTTGAGCATACCTGCATGTCTAAGGCTTTTTTTTTTTTTTTTAACTTTCCCAACTCACCCACTAGATTAAGCCAATAATGAATAATCAGCCCTCGGACTCCGTAAATATGGTTCATTGCCTTGCGTGAATTAAGGATTGATCATCTTACGATTTTCTGTAGAGCACAACGTTATAAAAAAACCCGAGATCCAGAAACAAATTAATATAGTATTTCAATCACGAACACACACAACTGTTCTGTTTGATGATTAGAATTAGAGAAAGGCTACATATTCATTCCTAAATTTTGTTTGCGGAAATCAGACAACGACATAGCTATAATCTTCGTCCTTAAATAGAACGCAGACATAAATAGTATTCGATTGATTTGAAGCTCAGAGTGCAGAAATATCAAAGGCATCCGGCCAAATATAATGTATTCCTCATCTTAGTTTAAAAGCCAAACGCATTCGGAAATAATAAGTTCTCAAGATGAGGGCTGTCGGAACTGACGACTTACCTTGAGGAATATGCATAATTCCAACTGTTACTCCAGCCACCACATCATATGGCAAAAACTTGCGGATCTGGTACTCGGATGTCCACTTGAGAATTGGTAGTATTGAGAAAAGCCACATCTTGAGCTTTTTCTGGCTCAATTTAGGTAACTTGGGTCGGAAATGTCGATACACTCCCAGCAGATCATCCTTCAAACCTTTATTCGATATACAGCAAAAATTATCATCAGGAAATTTTATTTCCCAGCAATTATAAGACATCCTTCGACCAGGATCATGGTTCTTAATTAAGTTGACGAAGTAACAAGGTGCCCAGAAGTCAATTTATACATGCAGAGAGATGTCTGAGAGTTTAAAAAAATTTATAAGTTGAGTGTAGGCAGTTTTCTTCTGCTTTCTGAGTTTTCATTGTGAAATGAATCAAATGCCAAACGAAAATTTCAAGTTTTCTATTTGCGTGACTCACAGGAGGAATCCAGATTCATGCGACATCTACCCGAGTTAAAGCTATGCGCTATGTTATTAAACATGCAAACGAAGTGCTACCCAATGGATTTCCAAGTTTCCTGTTCCAATTTCTTCAACACGTAGATAGGGGAATCTTAATCCTGACTGACTTACGACTCTTTTCGGTGGCTTCAGACATTTAAAAGAAATTATGGCAAATTCAAGGTAGTTTTCTTTAATCAAAGTTAAACTTGAAATGAATCCAAGAATATTTGATTTGGACAGTTTTAAATTTTAGGTATTTTACTCAATTTGCACCGGTTAATCAGTAGAGATTATTCTTTGCCCAAACTATCCATTATTTCTAGATATCTTACCTACACAGATATGCCACATTTTTTATGGAAGGACAAATAAAAGTTGCTTCTGTTATATTTTTCTTTCAGGAACTGGTATTCTAAAATTTAGCTGCAATTCATCAACAAGCAGATTGACAAAATTTGCTTAAGAGAGATTTGACCAAGCACGTTTTGAGTCCTGGAAGGTTTATGTGGGTTTGAACTTCAGAGTTGACCAGGGTTCAACTGGTAATTCTGAAAAGTCAGGTTTTCGACTTGGGGAGGTTGGGCTCTCAGCAAGGTTGAACCATTTACTGTAAATTTGTTTCATATTCTAGTTACCATACGATTTAGTTCATGAGAATGAAAACTTTTATTCATCTACTGTACATCCAGTGCGCAGATGAATGAAGTTTCCATTATTCTGCTCAATCTTATACCAGATTAAAAGGCTTTAGGCAAAATGTGCGCCAGGTAATCTTTGATTCCAGGGAAAAGCACAATGAAAAGAAAAAAGATTAACGGTATTGCACCGGACGCGGTATGCGTTATCATGGTTAAGGTTCTGAAAAGCTATCAAAGTGCCAACAAAGAGCTTGGATATGACAGAGGATACCGGAATTGCTTTTTCTCTCGTATAGATGTCGCACAAACATGAATCTTCTGCTGGTTGTTTACGAATGTATCTTTACGGTTGAACCAAAGTAAGACAGGAATTATCTCACTCACTTGGCCACAAGAGTTCCGTGTAGCCAGCATTGGCAAGATACTGATTCTCGTCCAAAACTTCGCGCTCAATGCTCAACAAAGCACGTTTGTCTACACTGCCTTGCGTTGTCCGCATTTCAGCATTCCCTTTTCCTGTCGCAGCTGATCCCTCACTCGCCGACGCTTTACTCGTCATAGCTTATCGACCAAGATGAACCAAACAAGACGAGAAAAAAAAAAACCTATCCACGTCCAGGTTCCAATAGCTAAAAAAATACACCTAATCTCCCACTCGAGCGAAACGATAAAATGTTCGACAAAATATTCTATACTTTTTTAAACTGAATAACGGCGAGGTGAGAAGCTCAGGGTTCGGAAAGTAGAAAGCAGGGAAATTACTCACCGGGAATATATCATAGACGCAACCGTCGAGACCTTCAGTAAGTTCTTTCAAGGAAAAAAAAATCCGTGTGAAGAATATATAAAAAAGGTTTCAAATAAAATTGCAGTTGAATATATTTCAAGTTCACGCGACTTCAATCAAAGAATCTTAATCTTAGGATTAAAAAAGTTTAGATTTCTGATCCCTGGCTCCATCTTCAGAACTTTCCTTGAACTTGGGCGCTGACCAGAGTACCCTCAGGGTGTCTTTGGGATTCCAGTTCGAGTACCAAGGAAGCTCGGAAGTACTGCTTCCTTCACCGCGACCCTCAATCACACCTTTCCTCGATGGCGGCACATTTCTGTTGAACTCCGTATTTCTCTTTGTTAAAGCTGGAGGGGAACATCGTTTGAAAGTTGAGGTAGACCACACATCACACGAGGCTATTTTCAACTGTTTTGAATCGACAAAAATTCGACACGGCCGGAAATTCGCATCAAAATACAGTAAGTTATCGCTAAAAAAAATTCAGGTTTTGTTGGAATTCATCTGCACGAATTTTTTTTTTATTTACTGTATTTATATTTAAGAACACTATACAGTACCATTCGAAGTCCATTTTCAGCTTCCGATACAAGATCTCGATTGAGTTCATAATTTCTAGCAATTGAAGTAATTCGCCAGAGTTTCATGAGTTTAAGCTGAAACTCCTAAAACTTTTATTTCAACAATTATTTCTTTCCAACCGAAACAATCGAAAAAATGTTGACTATGCAGGATATACCCTATATTCAGCATAAAAACACTTTTCAACGGAGAAATTAATTTTAACAAATTTATAGATTTTTAAAAATGTTATTAGTGCCTGTAGGGGAATGAAAAATCAAATGGAGCTTTCAGAATGACAGAAAAATCAGGGAATGTTTCGAATGGCATTTAGGGTGGAAAGCTTAGGAGATATTAAATAGTCCAGACACTAAATAACCGTATGAAATTGATGATACTGACCACTGTTCACAAATGTAGAATCAAGGGAAGATGTGCGTTTCATGGGCTCATCCTGGTCTCGCGTCAGCTTCAGAGGAGTGTTTTGCACTTGAAAAAATAATACGATCAGCGAAAACATCATTAATCTGTTAGACTGAAAAAAAGCGGAAAAACAAAGTTGAACTGGAACCTCCGTATAAGCCTAATACTGTACCTCCCTATGTCAATTGTTTTCAAGTTCCTGTCTGCTTTCCTTTAGAACCATTGTATTAAAAACCTTTAATAACTCGAAGAACGCTTTCCCTTCAAATTTTCTGCAGGTTTTTCGACTATTACAGGTATTTTATTGACAAAGGAAATAGAAAAGCAATGAAACTGGCACTTGATTAGTTTTGAAAGGAGAAGTGAGAGACCAATAGGACAAATGAGCTCTTGCCTCCAAGTTCAGCATCGCCTATCAACTCATTCAATAAGTAATTTAAGGTCCCCAATAACACCAATTACTATTTCCTGTAATTCTTCTTATAAAAACTCCTCTATAGTAAAATATACGTACAGCATAAGCAAATCTATGATGACTTTTCAAAATGAAAGAATATACGGTAGTACAGTAAATTACTGTCACACGGTACATGAAACTATGGATGCTTTACCCTGTCCAATAAAACTGCTGGAACATGTTTCTAGACCCGAGAGCAATCCGCTGACACTTTAGGTCTGGTTAAATTGGTCAGAGGGAAGGTACAGAGATAACAGGAAAGTAGGTACAGAGATAACAGGAAAGTACCAAAAATTCTGCCACACTTGGAGGAATTTTCAAAATACTGTATCTGCGTTTACTCGAGTACTACGGGCCCTCGATTAAGACGCGCACCCAGGTTTTTCAGGCTAAAAATTTTGAGAAAATTTTACCCATGAGTAGTCTATAGTGACTCTAAACTTCGATATTTTGAAAATAAAATCAACCAAATTTGAATTTAGACATGAATCCAACCTGAATTCAACTAATTTTCAATCGCTTCCTTAAAATTAACTTTTTCTGTTGAAATTGATCTAAATTATATAATAAATAGAATGGAGTACTGTATAATCCAGAAAGAATGCCGTGTACTGACCGGATGGTCGCTTGGGCTTCAATTGCCAATTCATAGCAGGGTTACTCATCGAGGATCTGAAGGCCTTGCTTTCGTGGTACTTCCAATTCAGTTCTCTCATGGCATGAATATGGGCATGATTCAAGTGCACCATCATCCTCGCAGTCTCCTCCGTGGAATGATACGGTTCCGGAATTCGTGACCTGGGATATTCGTACGAGGTATTGTACCACCCGTGACGACCTTCATTCATGTCATCCTTGTCCCGCTTACGCCTCCAAGGAAGACAATGATCAAAAATAGTCTTCATTGACCGGTTCAACTTGGACGATCGAGACTACAATACAAATCCTCGAATTCAATGAAAACGGTTCAATTTTTATTCAGCATGCTTGAAAATTAAAATGAATCATATTAATGCAATTCAAAGCAGCCTGTAAATTTTGATAAAACCATTGTATATGAAGCTGGTAAAACACGTACGATGCTATTATTCATTAAAAATTAAAAATAAGCAGGCGGATATACTGCACTTCCCACCACTATTTTATTCAACCATGATGATTCGAGAGTTGAAGGCAATTGAAAATCATCTCAACAGATCACGTAAAAGACTATAAAAGTTTGCGGAAAACGTACTGAAAGCTTAATAATTTACGTCTCACGCGTAATAAGCGCATGCGATCACAAAATTAAACTCTCTAAAATGCCGCATCTGACAATTTTAGTCATGCTGATGGTCGTCGAATACTCGTTGGGCTGGGATTGTTGGTCTTGTCCGTGTGCACTGAACCAAATGAACCAACAGCGATGTTGTTGCGGAGACAGGTTCGTCGCTTTTCAAGCACAAGTGGCGGTGTTTTCTCTCAAATAAATTAATTTTTCGGTGAAACTTCTGAAAAGCGACACTAACTGGATTTTGATTCCAACGAGCGATCTCAACAGAAAATGCAATAAGTGCGCAGTTTTGAGACAACTGCAGAATCACTGCAATATTTTCGAACAGCTATAGTGATTGGTGGTACAGTGTCGTATTACTCGTATATACAGTATAGTACTGTAAAATATGATATTTGTTGGAACTAAACACCTTCAGAAAAATTAAAAAAAAACCAACTCGTTTCCTTTTCGAAGAAAACTCTTGATCAATTGACTATAATCGGATTAACATGACAAAGAAAGAAGGAACAGATGAAATCCGCTTCAAAAAAGTTAAAAAGCGGCTTGACTTCGTCGCTGCACAATTCTTCAAATGAATTAGTCATCAAAGAAGCAATCAGTTTTCCCGAATAAATTCCTCGTGGTCGTCGTTTCGTATCGTATACAATATTCTGAGGAACAGGAATTGGAATGAATAGTTGCATTTCTAGCTAGAAATGCTCCCTGCATTAAATACTGATTGATTTCATACTTTTATATCAGCTTGTCCCCGCAAACTTAGGGCATGACCATTAGGATGTACTGTACAGTACTTTACTTTAAATTCAGCCATTTACATATTGTCCTCTTTTAGGATGGAGTACGAAGACTAATTCCGGATTGATTTTGCACTCACAATGTCTTCACTTTTCACGTTTTCTGAAGTTCTGTATCGGCAGGATTTTAGTTCGATTCGCCCAACAAATGCAATGCCTTACACACTCTGCAGCAGAAGAAACTCAAATGATTTTCACTACGCAACAAAAATGTTTCGAAGACAAAAATTGTGTGATGAACGATAAAGCTGTTGAATAATTCATTTAAAGAATTTTTCAGCGACAAAGTCAAGCTCTTAAAATTTTTTTGAATGGATTTCATGTGTTTCTTGTTTCTCTATTTGTATTTTCCTTCATTCCCGTGTGAATTCGTTTATGGCCGATTAATGATACAAAAAAAAGACTCGCCGAGCAAACACGTGGGTCTGTAAGTGGCAGTGATTTTTCAAGAAAAATATGAAGATTCCATCCCCGTAAAATTGAAACACAGGAGAAAAATTAAAACCTGAGAGTAAAGGAAGGAACGGCATTTTCAAATTTTGTACACAACGCTTTAAATGCGAACAAAGGGCTACAAATATAATACTGTACAGAAATAAACTGAAGAGCAGAAGGGAATCACAAAAATCTTGCAAATAAATTACTTGTTGAAATAATATTGTGCATACTGTACTTATATTCTCGGTTACATTTCTGAAAGTGCAACCCTGTTTATTTCGGAGTACGATATGCAATCCAGTGCAGTATTGCGATATATTCTTCAATCAGTTGAACTTGAAATCACACATCATTCGAATGTACTGTAGTACTAGTAATTTAAAATTTTTAACAGTACTGTACGCTTTTTTGAAGTGGTGATCACAAAATTCAGTTCGGGATACAAGAAACAGGTTTGAAAATCAGACAACTCTATAGATATAGAAAACGTGCGCACCGACGTCCCGGCAGAATCGGCCACAGTGAAAATAAACCGCCATCTTGGATTAGACCTACGTGGCAGCATACTGTAGTGACGTCATCGGCAAATGTGTCGCTTGAGTAGCGCGGGTTTACGAATCCTAACGTATTCACGTCCATAACCAAAGCAATAACCTCCACTTTTGCTGTACTTATTTAATCCAACTGGTATAGGATTAGGGAATATAATTGTGTTGTACTGTATCCACACCTGAATTGCGAAGATTCTCCGATATCGAAGGGCCTGCTGCGCAAGACGAGATCACCTCCAGGCAACGGACGTGTTCAGCGATCAACAACGCGCTTGGGCTCCCAGTGGAGTCATGGCCACACTAACCCTGGCCATAGTCGCTGTACTGGCTATTCCATGCCTGGTCATCTGCTGCCAATTGATTTTCCGCGCGTGGAGGCACAGCAAGCGTCACGGCGAAGCCATGTCGCCGAAACACACTCCAACGCTACGCCTTCCGCATCAGATTCGTAGTGACAACCCTGTGGTTTGCAATGCAGGACCCACGGGGACCTGCCCTCCAAACGAGAGTCAAATGCAAGACCTCGCGGTGCACTTAGCCGAGTCGAAGATCAGCCACACTTCTCTGCTTAATCCCAGCGTCATGCCCATGAAGTGACTACAGTATATATACACCACCACGAACTGCTCAAATATGTGTATATTTACACTTTTCTATCTATATACGGTACACGCACTCGGGGTAATTACGTTTACCATGGTAACATGGAAAACAGTTGTGAGCACGCTTCGCGCAGCGGATTTCGAATAATCAATTCCGACCTGAATACTGTAATTGAATCGAGAGCCGCGGAAGCACCAGAAATACGCATTGTGGTAACACCTCATCAATTATGAACGGAAACATTGAATCGAGAGCCGCGGAAGGATCAGAAATAAGCATTTCAATAAAACACGTCCTTCTTCCTTCGGTCACATCCTCGCACTGCAACGCCAGTCCGGTGTAACTTGGATGTTCTGAAAAACAAAACAAAAAAAAGCTCGCAACCTGTTCCGAAAACAAGTTTCAATCTGGTGACTTGTGCGAACGAAAGCCGCCTACAGGTAGTCTCATCGATCGCACTTCTCTAAGAACCGGTTAGGATCTCAGAAACCACATCAAGGCAGTACAGTACTGTATCACCTTTACAAAAACTCGTTTCATCATAGAGAACAGCCGTGCTTGGACTCATAGTTCGCACTGGTGATCTCCGAGGATCAATAGATCATCACGAACTGAACGAACAAACGCTGTACTTACATGAAAATGCGGGACTCATTCGCGCCGAATCAACCATCACATCTTTGCTTTGCGCTCGTTCACACGTCATTCTGCTACCGACTTCTTTCTGGAAATTAATGCGCACACTGTGTACAAGCGTACAGTCCGTGCTGGAATATATCCGTCGAGATCGTCGTGAAATGTTTTTTGGATTTGCTATAGGAAAAACATTGAAAGGTTTCAAATGCAACCCATCATCACATGCTGATCCGTTAATAAGTGGTTCCGATTGCTTTCGAAAAGAGGCCAATCTTCTTTTTTTTATCGCAAGTTACGCTACTTACACTGATTACTCTACTTATTTACACGGCTGGAGTAAACACGTCAAAGCAGTAAGGTGTATATCTTCCCCTACTAATAATTTCGGCGTACAGTTGTGCATATTTTCGTGTCTTCGTTTTTTTGTTGAAAGATGGCTGTCGTTGGAGCAATTTGCGCACAAACGCCCGCCGAGCGAATTGCGGCGTTGATAGGTAAATTCGTATGCGAGGAAATCGGCCTGGACGAATTCGTGCAGCAATATCCTTCGATTTTGCCTACGCGAATTATGGACGGGAAGAACTTGCTGCACGCCGCTGTGCAAACGAACGATGAGGACCTTGTAAAGAGGGTAATTCGCGCAGGATTCCATAGAGTGATCGACCACCGCGATGAGCATCGGCGCTGGAGCCCACTGTCTTACGCTGCTCATCAGAAGAATTTGAGGATTTTAGACATCCTTCTGGAAGGTACGGGAATTCAAAGAAATATCACGGCATAGATGGAACAAAAAACTTAAGCATATATAAAGAAATAGCTCTGCAGTGGGTCTACTACAAGTTGGTCTACTTACATGTTAAGTCGGTTAACAAAACAAATTCATGGAATATGCTGTTCAATGGCTGATCCGTTCAAGCAGACTTCGAAGTCCAATTAGTCCAGAAATACAAAAAATCATGCAACTTTCTATTGAAATGTTTCATGCGTTTTGGACCCTTGAAATTCCTTTTTCGACAAATTGTTCCATAAATAGAAATAAAACCGAATAATGAAAAGTAAAGATAAGTTAATGATCACTCAAAATAATTCAATTCTTAATACGCCATCTTTTTTGTCTTTTTTGTCACTATCTGAAAAGTTAGATTCATTTTAACAAAAGAAGCCAGCTAATTTTAGTTGAACTCCATCCATGGGCAAGGTGTCCATAACTTTAGGGGAAAACAACCGTAATAATATTTTCTAGTGTTAAACACGAATATGTGCTAGTTGGAGAGCTTGACTACTAGAACTGGACTAAATCACGAACACCACATTCACAGTAGTACGGTACATTAAAAGGCAACATAGATCCAAAAACCTTTCACACACATTACTTTAAGCGATTCTGTTACTGCATTGTGATCGGAAGATAAGATAAGCAGGTATGTATTTTACCGACTTTACAGTAAAACAATATGTGACAATGATACCCTTCAAATTTCCTTCAGTTCGAAGAACCTTTTAGAACTGGGACAAAAAGTTACTTGAAAACCTCAAGTCATGGATGTTCATTCTCAAATCGATTGCTCACTCCATTTTTCGTCAAGATTAAATATTGCCCCGCTTCTGTAGGAATTAAGAAATTAGTATGTCGATAGGTCAAGTTAATTGCAATAACACATTTACATTAATGAAGTTTTCCCGTCACTTATTTCACAAGTACAGCTGATGTACAATACTAAGATGATTTTTCAGGGAGTATATACGAATTCACACTTTTTCTGCAAGAACGAGGCACAGTTGAGTCATCACAGGCTTACAGCATCCATTTCAAATTAAGAGAGTTTCGCCTAAGTTACGTAAATTCGATCGACATGAAATCATGCAAAGGTCTGTTAGATGAATGCTGGGCTAAGTGAGTCATGACTACTCATGAGTGCTTGATGTTTCGAACAGCTGGCGCCGATCCAAGCCGAGGTGGCCCGCTGTTGTTTGCATCAGCTAATGACGAAGCTTGTGCCTTACGACTAATCGCGGCCGGAGCTGACCCTAACGACACTTACGCGGAGACTGAAGAAACATGCCTGCACTGTGCTGCTCGCGGTGGAAGCATATACGTTGTGCATCAGTTGCTGAAAGTCGGGGCTGATCCAACAGCGAAGAACTCGCTGAACCAAACGCCGGCAATAGTTGCACGTGATAATGGACATGCGGACATCATGGATCTTTTGTTGATAGCCGAGGCCAGGTGGCCGGAAGTTGTGGCAAGTTTCGAAATTTGTCGAATTCGGAGATCCCACCACGTCGCGAATGTGTTGATCGTAAATTGATTTTTGAGCAGAAATTTCAGGAGGAAATCGGTTCGATAACCGTCGTCTTAATTTTTCGTATAAAAAAGAACATCATTCCTCAGCTAAGCCTATTCACGATTACCGTACTTTATCAAGTACCACCCACTCCCCAATTTTTTGTCTTAAAATTTGAGGGGAAAACTCATTCCGGCATATGACGCGCACCTCAGGTTTAGTCACGAAATTGTGATCAGAAGAAAAGCAAGAAATCGAATAAGATTTAAGAAGACGAAACAAAATGATCAACAAATCAGATCTCACTTCCAGCGATATTTTTTATTTAATTTACAAACTTTAAAAAATTTGGTTTATCAACTTGTAGGCAAACTGATTCAGTGTCATCTTCTTTGCTTTACTGGTTCCATATACAGTACCGTCTTTAATGAATACGTAAATGAAAAAAACAATGTTTTAGTTTTTAGACTTGAAATGGTCAGCCATAGTAGGCAAAATGGGAGTGAAGATCATCGCAGCCTCAGTATGATGCAACAAAATTTGACTCAAAGGAATGAGCTACGATTCAAAATCAGAATTCGTATTTGAATCATCAGTTGGGTAGAATTTGAAAAGCACCTAAATGTTGCTTTCAATTGAAAAAGAAGTGCGCGTGATACGCGAGTGAATACGCTTTTTATGAAGAGCTGGAGTAATTTACAGTATATGTTGTGCCTCATTTTCCGCCCAGGCGAGGAGAGAAGCTGAACGTAAAGCAGCCGAAGAGGCAGAGGCCAAGAGAATTGCCGAAGAGGAAGCCAAAGCCCTGGCTGAAGAAGAACGAAATAGAGAAAAAGAAGAAAAACTGAAGGAACTTACCGAAGTCAAGAAGACTAAGCGCATTCGCCTTCGCACTCTCCGCATCGACAAAAAGAATGCTCCGATTACCGACTTCTCCAACCGTCTTTACAACTTAGCCGGCTTTACCAATTAGACCTTCTCCCATCGTAATTGAATGTCACATCCTGGGATTCTTCGAACACTATGCTGAGACTATAGATGCAAGGGATTTTATAGATAAGCTTCTGATTCACCATCAATCAAGTCATTTCCAGTTTGCTATTTTACCGTCTACAAAGCATCCTCACTTAAAAGAGATCACTTCTCCGTCTTAGTCTTCTGCTCCACAACTGTTCGATACCCACCGAATGTCGCTGGAGTTCGCACTGATACGAATTATTCTTGCAACAATTCTTCTTGTATATGTTGTATACGGGTAATAACTGAACTACGTAAGACTCACATTATTATGCACTGAACGGAAATGCAATAACGCAACACCAGCTTCCGCCACAAAAATGGAACTTTTCATATACTTCATCGGAATCATTTTTCCCTTCACTTTCAAAGAATTCCCCGCACGCATCATTCATAACCAGCACGAATCGCACCACGGCTACAGCGGTTTCGTTCGTCATAGACCGAACGCAAAGGAACTCAAAAAGCGACTAAAGATTTCTCTCACGCGAAGAGGCATTCTAAACGAAAAAAAAAAAAAAACGAAACGAAACAGACTCACTCGCAGCTCAATCACCACCAAATCATGGCCGAAACCCAAGGAATGACGTCGAACGGAATTGTTTTCGCCGCTAACCTTCGCTCAAAGCGCGCCAACGAAAAGAAATACAGTTCCCCGGAACTGAAGCAATGAGCAACACACATTCAGATCCTTCGATAAGACATTGGTCATTGGAGAGTTCCTCTCGACGTTCAAACTTTCCACCCAACTGTGAAACCTGCAGCGTGGCATCTACTACAGTACAGTACTAGAAGAGATGTCGCATTCGCTTCCCCAGAAAATATCATCTCCACACACACGCGCAACACATTCACCCCCTAAACTGAAATCAACGAAGCAAAAAAGTGACAGCGGGAGAAAAAGACTTTGGGCCCATTTCGGCGTCGCTTTGTGGACACGTCATGGCCAGCACTCATGAAACTTTGACTAGGGTAGCTCATCCAACGCGAAGCAAAATGTGTTTCATTCTTGAGAGAAACAAATTGTGACTAGTTCACGCCGAACAACGCGAAGATGAAAATCGAATGCCACGCAAATCCCATCAAAATGTCCGCCACCGACGCGAACTTCTTCAATAAGCAATTATTCACAACAGCAATTCAACGAATAATTAATCCCGTCCGGACGGAATTCATCATCCCTTACACCTCTAAACGCAAAAACGGAAGAAAGAGTTACACAAAAGAAAATTGGACGAATTTTTGCACAAAAATCTCTTCCAACAAGCATGCTGGGAAAGTGGAACGCCTCTCTAGGAACGCGTCAATTTTCCTCCTTTCTCCAATTTCTTATCTTTTGGCACATGGAATTCACCTGGCGGCTAAATTTTAGCAAGATAAAAACAAAAAATTTTCACTCTCGTTTCGTCGCTTGTTTTGTACAAAACCTGGCGCACAAGTCCCGTCTCATCGCTTTGATTAAAATATATATTTACTCGTTGACTCTCGAAAAAAAAGCCTTAAAATGTCCCGGGAATATTCGGGAAAGTTTCGTTTTTTTCAGGAATGCAGCAATATCATTTCCTTCAGCTAAATTCTATCATCTGTCTTTTTTCCTTTTTTTTTCTTAGAAAGAACGAAAAAAATCTTGCGTATTCGTTGCAAGAACAAATGGACGATTCTCCCCTCCCGCCCAGCGCGAACTTCGAAGGATACGCGTGGGAACTCCGGGGCTTGATGACGTGTAACTCGTGAAGAGAAAGCCTTTTACATACAGTACTGCAGCCATCTTAGTCCGTCTCCTGCTTGATGGGGTTCTCGTTGTTGGATGGCACAGGGCTGCAACTGACAGAACTTGGGCTTCTGGACTGACCACGGGACAGGTCTTCAACTCCGTCATCATTCAGAGCAGCTGCAAATATGACAAGATCAGAGTAAAATCATTAGTTTCGTTGGGAGAACCAATAATTTCCACAACAACATCATAATCTCCTACCGTAGGATGTACAGAATTTCATTTAATTGTGAGGGAAGAAAACTTGGACAAAAATGCAGCGTAAAATGTGTGAAAAATCTTTTGTGTGGCTCTTTCCACTTCAACGTTCGACGTTCCCGAACGCTATGTTCATCAGCCACTCCATAGGTGTTGCCTGAATCATGCTGCGTTGGTAAAATGATACTATTTTTTCCAGCAGTTTTAGATCGATTATTTTTGTCAAGTCGGATTTAGGAATGAAGGTGACATACACACCTTCTTGAAATTCTAGAAAGCACGTTGCAGTGCGAAAAACGGTGGAAGGGGTTCAGTGTTCAGCCGAACAACTCGTCAATAACTACAGTATTTGAATCTTTACACTGTACTTAAATACAGGATACAGTAATAATTGATGGAACTGAGGTGAAAGCTAACCGTCATCGGCGTCAGTCTCTTCCTTGGTGGACGCCAACTGGATCAGCATGGGCAACGGCTTGCTGGACGCGGACGAAGAGGTGGTGGACAATGCCGGCGACAGGCGGCAGCCAGCACTGGCGCCGCCGCCGGCACCAGCCGTGGCGTCCCCAGGGGTGTTGGTGCACGGAGACCCAGCAGCAGCAGCAGCAACAGTAGGAGCGTTGCCAGATGCACCCGATGGATCTGGGTCTGAGTCACGGTACGGCTTGCAGTACGAGTACCGGTGGTTCATGTGCTGGGAATAGGAGCCCGAGTGCGAGAACCGCTTGTGGCACTTGCTGCACTGGAACGGCTTCTCGCCCGAATGCAACCGACTGTGCTCCGTCAAGTGGTGCTTGTGCTTGAAGGCCTTGCTGCAGACCCCGCATTTGTGCGGACGCTGGCCTGCAATGCACAAAAAAATCATTTCATTTGATTAATCTCGAATTGAGAAGCACGTCACAGCCTCATAAGTCTCTTCGAACCCCTGGAAATTATTTGGAAAGCGTCGGAATTATTTAATATATTTTAACACAGTCATTCCAAAACTTCGTGCAGTATATTTTTTGCGGGGAAAGTTTAAAAGGTCAGCGGAATGTCTCTTTACGCCGGTGCAGCAGTTGCAATACCTAAATCATGCGCTTCTCCAGAATACGAAAAAAATTGAGTAGATGCCAATTTCTTGCGAAACTTTCTGATTTAGGAATCTTAGTTTCATTTCCAGACACTGTATATGGGTGAATGTATGAAGTTTTAAAGAACCTTCATCCCATCATTGCTACAATGGTTACGCTGAGTTGTGAGATCCTCAGGCTCTCATTTCAAAGACTCATTTTTAGAATGACCATCTTATCTTCAATAATAAGTAACAATGGAAACAAGCAGCCACGTTTGCATTTCGGATAAGAAAAAAACCAGATGATCAGGGAATTTTTTGTATGCTCACCAGAGTGCTCATATTTGTGGCGAGCCAGACTGCTTTGCTTGACGAAGGCTTTGTCGCATTGATCGCATTTGTACACCAAGGCTCCATCTGTCGGAGAGTCATCCGACTTGACTCGTTTCGCAGAAGTCGAGCCATCATCTGATTCATTATCCTGCGGAATGAAAAGAAAAAGATATCTTTAAAATTCCAGTTCAACAAAGCAACGTTTCATTCTTAAACAGGAAGATCCGAACGGCGATCTCTTAATCAAACAGCACGAGACGAAGAAAACGTTTCTCGTCGGAGGAGATACACAATTTATCTTCGCCACTTGATTCCCGGATGGTTCGGCGAAAAAGATTGCATCAAAAATCGAAAACGGAAAGACGTTTCAACGAGCATTGTATTTTATATTATCATATACAGTACTTTATATCGTAATAAGAAGTGGGGAAAAACTCACGGTCGTTTCGTGTTTCCAGGGACGCTTTGCCGGGGACAAATCGTCTCCCTGCGAAGACAACTGGTCGTTCGGGAAGAAGTAGCTCCCGTTCAGCGGAAACCTCTGGGAGCCAGTGATCAAACTGCTTCGCAGCTCGTTGCCATCTACGGCGGACGTCAGCGACGACGTCATCGGGCTCGACGGGGTGTCGCTCCTGGATCTCACCGGACTCTGGCTCCTCGAGCTCTTCTGACTACAGCACCAAAATAAGAACAGCGTGAAAAATCGCGCATATTTTCAGGTTTGAAGAGCGATGGGACTGAAGACCCAAAAATCTATCTTCCGGAAGACAATGGAACTCCAAGACTAAGAACCTTTCGAGCCAAAAATTACTGCCACGAAAACTGTAAACGTCGAAAACGGAAATATACCGACACTTAATTCATTCAACTGCTGAAGATTCAGGAAAATTCGGATGAAAAATTGAAAAAAATAACACAAATTTTTACAGATCGGAATGTGACCAGATTTTCAACAAGGACGCATTTCATTTTTCAAGATTACACCGGTAATTCAAGGTTTCTTTGCGCAGACAGATTTCTCATTTCTGACAATTCAAGAAGAAATAATTTGTTCAAATGACCTTATAATTTTTGGATATTGTCAGGATTATTTCCTTTGTCCCATATCATCAAAAAGATATCACTGTACACCCGAATTTTCTGAATGAATAACGACAGAACAGAAACTTGGCAACCTGGCTAAGTATAACTCATCAACCCTTTCAACCAAGCATTGCATAGATTTCAAATTAATGCATAGATTCATGGTTGAAAGGGTTGATGAGTTATACTCTCACTACGAGTTATCTCTCACTACGCCCTTCAGTGTCTCCGTGAAATCAAGTCTGTTTGGAAATTTTTTGAAAACTTTTCGGAAAAATATAAAGCAAATTTGTAATCATCTAGTTTAGATTTATTTTTCGAAATCCTGCGCGGAAATCAGACAACCGCGACTAGATCAGCTAGAAGAAAACCACGTTAATCACCTGAGATTAACGGGAGCTCCATCAGTAGGAGGAGACGACATCTGGTCGATATCTCGCTCTCGCTTCCAGCTGGACGTTGTCAGATCCAATGGAGCAGCGTCGCCGTAACCGCCGTCGTCCTGACCCGAGTCGTCCACGTCGTCCTGGACACCACGCAACCCATTGTGCGTCATCGACAACGGAGGCGAGTCCCGCTGATCGAAATTGACAACCCCTTGCTGTCCCAAAGGATACATCAGCGGCATCGTGACTGGATGATGATGATGCTGTTGGTGGGGGTGGTTGTGGTGATGGTGGCTGAGACTCGGCGCCGGAGAACCGAAATGCAAGAACCTATGCGGGGGAAAAAAAATACATACAGTATATTACGAACGAATTCAACCTCGAGTTTTCGTTCTTGGCACTTTCAAAGCAGAATTTAATTTTCTGAAAAATCAGAAGATTTTAACTCCTGAATCAATTACCTATATCTGTGCTTCACTAATAATGAACATTGGCAATAACCACAGAGGTTGACCATTATCAAAAATACTTTCGAAAAATAACTATCGTATTTACTCAGATGCATCTCAACACAAAAGTCACGCAGAAGAATAGCTAATAGGGTCATAGAAAATTTTTAAACCGAAATTATGTCTGTCAACTAGTACCGGAGATAGTTTTAATTTTTTTCAAGGAAATAACTACCGGGCTAAATTGAATCAACCGCAAAAATCGCCTAAGAATCGTACTATGACATCAATGTACTGTATTCGCCAATGATATATACAGTAATTCAGGTTGAGATTGCCCTGGAACAACCAACAATAGGATATAAACTTAAAAATATAAATTGAGTCCGTAATCAAAGTGAACAAAACCTTTTACAGTATTTTCCAAATCCTGCTGCAATATTTTCAGTTTACGGACAGAAGCGTTGGAATCCGGGATCACATTGAAAGGCCTTCGTAAGATTTAATTGGCATCTCGAGGTTGAGTAGAGTATATTCTAAAAGCATTTCCAATTCATATGATGATTACGGTGAACATCGAAGAAGCGAGTCTTAAATTTTTAGGGATTTTTTCTTTGTTCTTGAGGCAAAAAAAAATATGTATACTTATATTAATGTATACAGTATATGTATATACCGGTACAGTATATATAGTCAAAAGTTTCTGAGAAACTCACCGATTCGGCCCAGAGTTGCCAGCCAGAGAGAGCCTGCCGGAGATCACAGCGGGGTCGCCCAGCACGGTGCGTCCTTCTCGTCGATCCCTGGCCCGGGTGTTCTGGAACCAGACCTGGACAACCCTGACGTTGAAGCCGATCTCGTCCGCGATCCGCTCCAGCTCTTCTTTCTTGGGTTTCGGGTTGCGTGTGTAGTGGGTTCGGAGCACGCGGAGCTGGTCGTCGGAGATGAGGGATCGAACCCGCACTTTCCGACCATCCGGCCCGGACATGGGCGACGAATTGGACTCGTTGCCGTCGGAGCCCTCGGAACCTGAGTCCATCCTCAAATTGTTGTTGCTGCTGTTGTTATTGGTGTTGGTGAAGGTGATGCTGAGGTTGTTGTTGCCGCCGGGCATCCCGTTGCTGTTGTTGCTGCTGCTGCTGTGTTGCGTCAAGGAGCTCCCGTTCAAGCCGTTGATTTCGCGCAGGATTTCCTCAACCCGTTCGTTGCTAGCTTCTGCACATGAAATTACAACACCGAAAAAATTAAATAAACAAGAAAAAAATACCGAAAGGAAATTAAAGTCTTGAAACATTCTCTTAGCAATCACAACATTGGTTAATTCACGAAATCGTGTATTACAGTACTTTCAAAATTTAATTGCTATAAAAATGAATCAGTAACGCACCCAGACTCGTAGCCGTCAGACCGATTTTGTTTGAAGCTTTCATGTCCATGCTAACAGGTGAAGATGTGGTTTCGTGTTTGACTTCGACTTTGTCGTTCTCCTTCCAATCTTGTCCATGCTGGATCTTCATATCTGACTCAGAAAGTCTGGTTAGGGATAATTGTCGAGATTTCACCACATCTGCAATATTCGAAGGACATCATTAAAGCCATTAAAAAATTGGATACGAGTATCATTCACTCCGATTAATACTGAGACATGCAAATTTAAAAAAAGTTTCAAAGCAACTGGTGCTATACAGTACAGTACAGTATATTCTCTGATTATAATATCAGTTTTGAAAGTTTTCCTTCTTCGCCTAATTTTCTCTTGTTTTGAAGTTTGTACCGCAAAAGACAATTCTTCTGGACTTTTTCATTCTTTCACATGGTCTTCATTCATTTACTCGTCCTTTTTCTTTCTCAGTCATTTCATTATTTTTAATACTGTATCTTGATATCAGGGGCAAAGAAAGGTACAGTATGAACAACTCACCACTGTCAACGGGCAAGTCCGAGAAGGAAAACCCTGGCAATTTCCGCTTCTCCACGAACTGTGGCGCAGGCTGCTGCTGTTGGTGGTGCTGTTGTTGCTGAAGATGGTGCTGAGTGGCCATCAGCAGCGGATGCATCGGCAACGCTGTGGCGCTCGTCGGTGGAAAGCCCGCTCCGGATCCGAAATATCGAGCGAAATCAGGTGCGGTCAGTTTTCCGCCGCTTTCGACTTGCTTTCCTGGCTTGTTGCTCCCACTGGGGGGTTGTTTGTCGCTGTTATTGTTGATGTTGTTGTTATTGGTGCTAGGATTGTTCCCTGTCGTCCCAGCAGCAGCAGCGGCGGCTTTCTGGCTCACGACCAGGCACTTTTTGGACGTCATGTGCGAGGAGTAAGAGCCCGAGTGCGAAAACCGCTTGCCGCAATTGGCGCACTCGAACGGCTTCTCTCCGCTGTGTATGCGAATGTGTTCCTGAAGAAAGAGAGAAAAAAAACGGCAAATTTAGTTCAAGCAGAAATTCAGTACCTGTATTGCTGTGTCAGTTTGTCTGTTACGCGCCAACACTCCTTAGGATAGATGTCGCTTCAATACTCACGGGTATCAGCATTTTCATCAGTTACTCCACGCGGGCATGGTTTTTTTCAACTCCACCAACGTTTCAGATGTTAATGAGTCAAAATTTCTAATCTATTCGAAAAATCTGGAGAAATCATACCAACACCCCGTAATTTATTATTTTGTTTTCCATTCTTTCAATCGCATTCCATCAGAGAACGGACTGCTGGTGGGTTCGCGGGATTTTTTCGAGAAGAACTGAGATGCTTTGAAAACTTTAGAACTGTAGATTACATTCAGAAATTAATTTAAAATACTGTACTATACAAAGGGAATTTCCGCCTGAACGCCCAAAATGTCACACAC